GTGTAGTAGTAGTAGTAGTAGTAGTAGTAGTAGTAGTAGTAGTAGTAGTAGTAGTAGTAGTAGTAGTAGTAGTAGTAGTAGTAGTAGTAGTAGTAGTAGTAGTAGTAGTAGTAGTATGCGTCCTACCTTAGGAAATTATTTTGAGGTGGGGGTTGGTTCCAAAATAATTTGTTTTAAAATAATTTCCATTTTTAACATAAATTTTATGTTAAAATCACCCGACAAGAGCCATAGCAAAATAATTTTTGCACCCGTACCTTGATGATGGTGCAAAATAATTTTCCACCTACAGAGGTTGAAGCACCTTGAAATAATTTTAAACAAACAACTTAAGGCACCTCAAAATAATTTCTCAGTTGAACTGGGGAAATTATTTCATATAGTTCCAACTGTATAAAATAATTACCAGACACCCATGATGAAAATTATTTCATGGGGTGGGGGTACTTGCAAACCACCTGCAAAATAATTTCAGCATATTACATCAAATTTCAACTACATATTTCAACATGTTCAGTCAGGATATTCTTTGAATCAATCTGCAGCCATTTCCAACTTCATTCAAGCCACATCCCGTCAATCCCAACACATCCCAGGGAAGTTGAGTTTTGCAAGGTTAGGTTTTTTTGGATTTCTGGGGTGGTCTAGTAGTTAACCACCCCCAAAATAATTTTTGGGGAGAGAGGAATCGATTCAGGTTTCTTTGCCCAAAAGCCGATGCTAAGTCGATGTTCTAAAAAATAATTAGTTCAGCAAGTAATTCATGGTAAATCTCAGGGTTTGTCTGTTCGAGGCAATTTGGATTTTGAACTACTCAATGGGAAGTTAATTTTGCCAGTTTAGGCTATTATTATTTCTGGGGTGGTTTAGTAGTTAACCACCCCCAAAATAATTTATGGGGTAGGAAGGGGTCGATTCAGATTTCTTTGTCCAAAAATCGATGGTCTAAATCATAGGTGGTTTAGTAGTTAACCACCCCCAAAATAATTGGGTTCTCATGGTTTGATTCTTTCAGACAGTTTGGGTCAATTTGGATCAGGTTTGGCATTTTTGACCTATTCCAGGGAAGTTGAGTTTTGCAAGGTTAGGTTATTTTGGATTTCTGGGGTGGTCTAGTAGTTAACCACCCCCAAAATAATTTTTGGGGAGAGAGGAATCGATTCAGGTTTCTTTGCCCAAAAGCCGATGCTAAGTCGATGTTCTAAAAAATAATTAGTTCAGCAAGTAATTCATGGTAAATCTCAGGGTTTGTCTGTTCGAGGCAATTTGGATTTTGAACTACTCAATGGGAAGTTAATTTTGCCAGTTTAGGCTATTATTATTTCTGGGGTGGTTTAGTAGTTAACCACCCCCAAAATAATTTATGGGGTAGGAAGGGGTCGATTCAGATTTCTTTGTCCAAAAATCGATGGTCTAAATCATGAAATTCCGACAATGCTTGTCGGGTGCATTCGGGAGGATAGGTAGGGTGACCCCCCAAAATAATTTTGTGGGGATTTTTGCTATTTATTTTGAGGTGGTTCTACTTGTTTTTTCAATCATCCAAAACCATCTTAAACCACCTTGAAATAATTTCCAAAATTATTTTGAACTAAGGGAAGTGGTTTTGAGTAATAGTAGAACCCTACAAAATAATTTATTTGCAAATTTTCAGAAATTATTTTGAGGAGGTGGGTAGTGATAAAGGATATTATTTTGGGATGGTTAGAGTGTTTTGGAAAAAAATATTTTGTAGTGGGTTATGTACTGAAGCACCTCAGAATAATTCTGAAAAATTATTTTGGGGGGTCACCCTAGTGATTTTACCCAGGGTAGCCCGCATGTAGTAGTAGTAGTAGTAGTAGTAGTAGTAGTAGTAGTAGTAGTAGTAGTAGTAGTAGTAGTAGTAGTAAGAAGTCGTAGTGAGTAGTAGCTAGTAGTAGGAATGGGTATGGATATACAGGAGCTATGTTCCCCGCCCCCCCCCTGTGGGTGGGTAGGGGGGTGGTGGGGGTTAGTAGTAGTTAGTAGTATGTAGTAGTGAGTAGTAGTTAGTAGTAGGAAAGTGTATGGATATACAGGAGCTATGTTCCCCCCCCTTGTGGGTGGGTAGCGGGGTGGGGGGGTTAGTAGTAGTTAGTAGTAGTGAGTAGTAGTTAGTAGTAGGAATGGGTATGGATATACAGGAGCTATGTTCCCCGCCCCCCCGGTGGTGTGGTGGGGGTGTGGTACTGCGGATATACATATATATATAATATGTAAATAATATAAGTATGTGTATTTATATATATACATGTCTATATATATATATATATATACATGCTTATGTATATATATACACATATATGTATGTGTACACACATATATATATATATGTGAATATTTATATATATATATATGTATATATATATATATGTAGGTATATATACATATGTATATGTTTATACGAATATGTGTATATATATATATATATGTATCTAAAACATGCAAATAAATAAATAAATATATATACATATTTATTTATACACACATATATATATATATAGGAAGTAATTACATAGCACTTGTATATATGACTATAGGTAGCACGTAGGTACTTTGAGGGAGTATGTGTGCTACGTACCTAGTAAATGCGAGGCTGGTAGTCAGAATCGCTGCAAAAAACCTAGCAAATACGAGGCTGGACCTCAGAAATGCTGCCAATAGCTTGCAAATAGAAGGGAAGGGGGGGTGCTACCTGGGGACCCATCCCGTTGGGGGGGGGGCACCTCGCGGTCGGAAGGCGGGGTCATATATATATATATTTATATATGACATCTTGTTATATATGCATATTATAATATATATATATATATAAATAATAGATCTTAAATGCATGAAATTGTTGTTCAGAATCATAGATGCATTCATGCACCTAATCGGCTGCAGTCTGTTCCGATTAGGCGGTGGCTCATATCGATGAGACGGCGCGCGGATCTGGTGGCCCCTCACCGCCTCCAGGCGGGCGACCATTATGATCCATTGGGATTGATGGTTAGTAATCGTTACAAGGTGGTGCCCCCAAGATAGCTAAGTTGGTTTATAACTCCAATAACTATGGTTTATGGTATTTATAACTATAGTTAATGGGGTTTATAAACCAACTTATAACTGGGGGGCCCCACCTTGTAGTAATGGTTACCATCTGGTTATTTAACATAGCTATGGAAAATGACCCATCTATAGATGGTTTACCTATTACAAATGGTGATTTTCCATGGCTATGTTAAATAACCAGAGGGTAGTAATGGTTAATAATGGCTAATATTGGCTAATGGTTAATAATGATTATCCATTGGTTGATGTTCGAACTGGTTGACGTTCAACTTTCATATTATTCATCTTCATGTGGATGATGACTTCAGAAAATACCGGCGTGATTTGAGCAATTTTGTGCTAGTTGCCGTCTCTGAGAAATCATGAATGAGTGGATCCAGAGATGCTGAACGTCTCATGATTTGCGTTGAATGCCCCTGGAATTCTGGCATCCAGAGTTTGATATTGAATCAACGTTGTTCCCTTTTGACGCATCATCATTTCGCATTTCTCTTTTCTGGCAGGCGTTGATGTGCAGAAAATGGAGCAAGCATGGAACTGAGTATCTCTCAGGTCGACTTGTTCTAGGTTGCTGGAAATGCATGGAAGTGCTAGATATATACTCTCTAGATCTCTCTAGTTGCGAAGAACTTCTCAGATCAATGTTACGATTAACCACCAGAAATGATTGGGGCGGAACAGATGGCGGAACCATGGCGAAATCCATTGGTAGAGCGCTTTGGAGGAATGGCCCGCCCATGTTTTGCACTTGATTTTCGCCACTGGCGGAAGACGTCTGGGATTTCCTAGTTATATGCAGAATGGCGACATTTTTTATATAGAAATAATGTGGTGAGATGTGGTGAGACATTCTGACAAGAGAGTTGCTATCCTTTCGACCCTCAGCCCACGAAGCAGCTTTCCATAGTTGATCACAGTATATCACTGCATGATTTTTCCCTATAGATGGACTCATCTCTTTAATATTACGATACGTTCCTTAAAACGTTTGACACCCTGCGTCCTAATAACACTCATTTTACAGTTACGAAGACCAGCTTTAGGTGGTACGCTCCTTTGCAGCAAACTGGAAGAAGGCGGCATGCTGTTGGGAGGGAAACGATAGAAAAGAACTAAGTATGGTATGGCAGTGCTGTTTTCCCATTGAGAAGTTTCTTGAATAGGACGTAAGCTTGCCTCTCTCACCTTTGTGACATTGTCAGACTCTACCATGGATACAGTGCGTTTCTTAGTCTTAGTTCAAACTTATTTGAGAAGTAATTTTCTTGAATGCACACACACTGTTATTCACACTTAAATGAGTTTTAGGATGTTTTCAGGCAGCCAACACAGTGTGCAATTTCCTGGATTCTACCAGAAAAACCCACAGCTAGGAGAGGGACCAGATCCATCAGTACGTCATGGTTTCGTTTAGCAACTTTAGCAACGGCCCGGAGCTCAAGCCGCGAAGCCTGGAAACCACTGTAAAAGTGACTGTGGAGAGGGTGTAACTGACCAACTGGTTGATTAGACGAGTAAAACTAGTAAAACTCATAATTGGGAGAGCTACCAACGTGATGTATATATGTGGTTTATGAATTTTCTAACTCGGCAGCCAATCATTTGTCTGAAGGTGCCTACTGCACTCAAATACCCTGCTCTATAGCCCTTCTGTTTCATCGGTTGAAGTATCTGGGGCTTGTCTTAGAACGGGCTATACCACAAAAGGGCAATTTTTACAGGAACATGATGATTATATAAGCAGTGTATTTAGTTTTTTTCACCCTAAATTTTGGACACAACTATAACATAGACTCATCAGATGAAATCAATGGGTCTGGATCAAGTTTTTTGGGCTCCCCAAATGGATCAAACTTGTGCATTCAAATTGGATCCAAGATTTTCGACCCAGATCTGCGGGTGTCTCTGAAATCAATGGTGTCGAGGTATGGGAATCCTCAAGCAGGTCTTGACCCAGCTCTTGCTGTACTACACGCGGCTCCAGAAGGCGGCCCTAAAGATCACTTCACCATGGAGCAAAACTGTTCAAAGACATATGGAGGTTTCCTAAGTCATGGGGGTACCCCTAGTTATCATTCATTTTTTGGGGTGATTTTTTCCATTACAAATAAGCCATCCAACTATTCGGGCACATAGATGGGCCATGGGATTAGCGATTCCATGCGATTCCTGGTTAGTAGCTGGTATTATGAACCACCAAAAATCCCAATGAAATAATCCATCTACTAACTAGTTCACTAACTCCATGGCCCATCTAAGTATGTCAAATAACCATAGGGTATATCATATCTCATTATTTCCCATTATCCCATTCCCCCCAATAAATCCCTATAGATCCTGTTAGGTAAACCATCCATTTTGGTGTACCATGACTATGGAGCTGCCCCCATGACGTTGGGACATGGCGAGACCCGAGACCCGAGATATCCAGGTGATCCGCAAGGCATTTCCGCAGCAGCCTCCGGCCTTTGCCAACGAGATGGTTTCCAACACCACGTCCCTTGGCACGACGTGGCGTTGTCCCGTTGGCCTTGGCAACAGAACATGGGGAACGCTTCGAAGTCCGGAAAGGGGGGGTTGAAATTTTGAGACAGCAACTGGGTTCAAATTTTGGAGGAAAACACTGGATTCAAATCAACTGCACGCCTCTCAGCGATCCCCGAGGATCCTCATGGAGTGGAACTGGCAAGATTGACAGCTGCGCCAGGGTCTGTTGGGAAGAGAGTCCTATATAGTCCTCACCCTAATATGGGGCGTTCTTGAAATGGGGGTACCCAAAAATGGATGGTTTACAGTACAAATTCCTATAGTATTTGTTGTTTTTTTTGGGGTACGGTACCCCCATTTCTAGGAAACCTCCATAGATCCTAACATATCTGGTTGGTGGTTTGGACCATTTTTGCTTTTCCCATCATCTTGGGAATGATCATCCCAACTGACGAACTCCATCATTTTTCAGAGGGGTTCGTATACCACCAACCAGATATCCTAAGACCAAATAAAGCCCATATGGGACCCAAAAAAATTGTCACAGATCGGGCCACATGATTCCGAGTTGACGCAGTTGATCCCAGAGATCCCAGGAACAAACTTATGACGCTGTGGGAAGTATGGTTATGTAATGTTATGTACATGTTGATCTATGCCTTCCTATAATTATATTATATTATATGTATATTATATTATATTATATGTATCTTATATTATATTATATTACATGTATATTATATTATATTATATGTATATTATATTTTATTATATGTATATTATATGTATATGTATATGTATATGTATATGTATATGTATATGTATATGTATATGTATATGATATTATATGATATTATATTATATTATATTGTATTATATGTATGTAGGCTAGGTCTAATTACATTCTAATCACTTTGATTTGTTTGGAGGTTTCCACTTGAATGAAATCCAAAAATAGGGACAGACAACTCAGCCACCATGGGCTTTCCGTGCCAGGGTTCGTCGGGACAACTTCACATGAGGCTGGAAATGGCCTCCTGGCCTACGGCTCAAAACCCCTTTCGAACATCAAAACAGATGAGGTTTATGGGTGTTCATCCCCCCAAGTAGAGGTTTGGATCCATCCCGGGGCACAATACTCAACAAAGTTTTATCAATTTTTGTTGGTGACCGACCTATTCCTCTTGGAAAGCTGTTCCATACTGACCTGAAAGAGGATCTTGAGTTTGTCAGATGTGAAAGGCGACGTAGTTGCCAAGCTCTTCAACAGTGGTATTATCTAAACATATCCAAACTAACCGCTCTGGGATACCAACACGTGTTTTCCTCCATGAATCAAGCTGTCAGGCGGCAAGCTGTCAGGCGGCCGCCACGATGAGCTGATCCCGCTGGAAAAAGAAAGGGTCGCGGCGCGGTCGCACAGCACCGGTCGCTGACCAACCCATTGCTGTCTCTTTTGAAGGGGAAAACACATTGAACAACTATGATAGAACAGCAATTATTGTCGAATTGAGTTTTTTCAATGGTGTTTATTTTAAGTTCATTCTCCATTGTCCATTGCTCAACAACAAATGTACTACAAAACTCAAGATGCAAATTGGATGCGACACGAGTGACGTACGACTCAGCTGTTTCGTCTTCAAGCCTCTGCCACCGCGGCGATTGCGGCAGCGTTCCGGCACCCCTGCTGTGATTTGGCGTCAGCGGGCTTTGTAGTTGGTGCACTCTTCGATTGTGGGTCTATTTTTAAAGGAGAAATCTATAGCTACAGGATGGCTTTCACCTGGGGATATAGTCAAATCAATATGATCATCTGGGATTGATATAGATGTTCAATGGTTTTTACCGTACATCTTCCCATAGTTCAATTGTCATTTGAGATTTAGTTTGCCAAATCTTTATTTTCGATGCCAACGTGGAAACTCAGTTCATTGTGGATCTCCGTGGGCTCACTCCCTTCACTTGTCCGAATGAGCCGCTTGAAACCTGAGCTGGCTTGGACATGGTTGGCATGTCTCTACAGGTTATTCCATGGTTATAAGTTAGATATATATATATGTATATGTACATATATTCAATCAACAAAGGGGTTGAATATGGTTGAACATTCTGTGGATTTTCCCTTGCTCTCAACTTCTGGAAGATTTCTCCAAGGTGACCAGAGTCGACATGTCCAAGACTGGTGTCGTGAAAAATTGGAACGAGGACAAAGGCTTCGGCTTCATAGGCCTGGAATGAGCTGTGAAGATATGGGGATGGGTCAAAACCTATTATTACAGTTATGGCCCTTTACCAGTTATAAGTACTTATAACCAGTTATAACTGATAAATGGCCATAACTGTACCATATTTGGGGGAATAACCATCCATCAACCAGCTATTTTAAGGTTAGGGTACGAGGGTTTTGATCCATAACCATATTAAGGACTGTTTGTAGTTTCAAAACTATTGATTTATGTTGATGTCTTTGAGATCTTGCAAACGATCGCTATCTACATCTATAAGATCTACAAGATGGACTGATTGAACTGATGAAAAAATCCATGGAATTCCAAGAATTCAAAGCTGGAACCAGTTCTGCCGTCATCTGCCGTCCAGGTCCTGACGACGGTGGCGAGGACTTGTTTTGCCACACTTCTTCTTTGCGTGGCTGCAAGGGTCTCGGGAAGGGAGACAAGGTGCGTTTTGAGCCGGAATATGACGATCGCAAGGCCGGGAAAACCGGGGAAAGTTTGTGGAACAGTTTCCAAATTGTGATAATTGCGTACTTATCGTGAGATGTCGTGAGCATAAAAAAGAGCCTTTGCGGGAAAGTTTCGGAGCCACTTAGGGCTGGTCACGTTAGTAAACCATCCCCAAGGTCCAGGAGGGTCAGGGAATGGATGGTTGGAAGCTGTACCACCTGTGGGCCAGAGATTTGACAACCTCCAAAGTCCCTTGAGTTAATCCTTAGTCTGCTTGTACCCAAGAAAGTGTTCAGCAATAGCCAATTATCTTACTCCGTATTGCTTGGATGAATTTAATCGTTTCTTATTTGTTGAATCCTCATTACTGTTGGCTAGATCCACATGTTTGTTGCATAAATCCATATTGGTTGATCACAATTCCTCCCAGGGCAAGATGCGTGCGGTGAACGTGTCCATTGAGGGCGGTGGCGGCGGCGGCGGCTACGACGACCGCCGCGACGACCGCCGCGACGATCGTCGCCGTGACGACCGCCGTGACGACCGCCGTGATGACCGCCGTGATGACCGCCGTGATGACCGCCGCGATGATCGTAGCCGGGCATGCAAAGCTGCCATCAGTTCTGTAGCAATTTCAAAGGATGTGACCAGAAATGATGACTAAAACATCATTTTATTGGAGACTATTAAGGGAAATTATTTCACCATTGTTTTCGTTTCATTGTGGTTAAGTGCCAGTACCATGCATGGCTTGTGGATCCATGGATTAACCATCATCCCAGTGCCCATCCAGTGCCCTACTTGGGATATCTTGGGATGATTGGTTGAGATGGCAAATATTTTTGTGGGATAAAAGCACCAAAGCAGACAAGTTGAATCCCTTAAGCCTCCACGTGTTCATCATGGGTTCATCATGGGTTCAGAAAACCATGTCCCATCACCTGTTCCAAGGTCGGGATTATGATCGCCGTGACGATCGCCGTGATGATCGTGGCAAGGGGAAAGGTGGCAAGGGAATCTTGGCTGTGCTGTTGGTTTGGTTGACCCAAGATACTTTGTGCACTGATGGGTTATACATTGTTATACCCTGGTACACCACAAAATGGCAATGTGGATTGGGAACATGGTGATGATATGTGATGATGTACTTGCAGACATGATGAATTTGAACACTAAACACGGCCTCGTATCTACAGGAACCATAGATTTACCATACCCTGAGAATCGATGTCGGCATATAGATCAAAAATAGCAACGTAGTCAAAATACGGCTACATCTACGTTAACGCTTGATTTTGGTGACATTTGTCGGAATCTGTCGGAAATCCACCGGATTTTGTCGGAAATTGATGAAACAACGCAGACATCCTTTGTTTCGAAGATGCGCATGCGAGTTGATCATGGCCATATGTAGTTCAAAATCGTGACAAATCGTGACGAATCATCTTTTTGCCACTTAAAATTATGACATTTGTCGAAAATACCGTGACAAAACGTGATGAACCGTGATCTCTTCAGGATTGACCCCTCATTTTATATACCTTGTTACTCTTGGCTCGTGCTCATCGCATTTTACGGTAAAATTATCGTTCCCGCAAATGTTGCCAATTTTTGACTACGGACGTCAAATAATTCATACGGACGTCAAAAAGCAAGGTTTACCGCAAATGTCAGCAAATAGACCCAGTATTTGATTCACAGGGATAGATTTACCATGGATTTACGTCAAATCTGAAGCTTTCAGTGCCGTCCCTTGCCGTCCCTTGCCGTCCCAGGCGGCGGCGATCGCTTTGGTGGCGACAACCGTGGGGACGACATCAGCAACGGAGGAAATCGCCACCTCACGGCGCGCGAGCTGTTCATGAGGCGCAGTTGCCATGGATTTTTCGTATGATTTTTCAAAAATTTTCAAAGAATGTGCTGTAAGAAGTCCATAGTTTTTTTGTATGAATGTTCAACAATTGTCATCGAATTTGCTGTAACAAGTGACAATTCAGAATGATTCAGAACTATAAGGCTTATAAGGGACGTTGTTTTTCTGTTCTTGTTTCCGTACAACCCCCGTGGTTGTTGGAAAGTTCACCACTCTTTCCGGCGAGAGAAGACCTTTCATGAAAGGATCATGAATGGATTTGGTGAGCAAGATATCTACAATATATCGATAGTATACAGCAGAATATCCATAATTACTATATATTATCATTAGATGTTCATATATATTTTCAAAAACCTGTGCTGAATTGTATATTATTGTATACAATCATATGTCATATTATGCCATAGTACACTTGATTGGCACACTATACATGGGGTTTCTTGCAATGGTGGATCCCCAGGCATACTGGATTTACTGGTTGTTTAAATCCTTGAAAGTTGTCTAATTTGATGATTTGGGGGTACCCCATGCTTCGGAAATCTGCATATATATATATATACACACTATATACAAACATATCATTACGATTATTATCCACTATTAATCCGTATATATCCAAGAGTGTAGCCATGTGGCAATGGTCGAGTGATGCGCCAGGCACGAGCGTGAGAGGCGCCGGCGTTCGTCCTCTTCTTCTAGGTCTAGGTCTCCTCCCAGGCAGAGGTCTCCCAGGCGGGCTGCGGTGCTTTGAGAAGGATTCTGTTGAAATATATTGTTACGTACTTATGCATATTTATATATTATGCATATTATCATAATATATATATATACATATGTATATATATATTATGTATTTTACATAATAATAATATATATATATATGTCACATTACATATATGTAATACATTATATATAATGTAATGTAATATATATAATATAATATAATATAATGTAATGTAATGTAATGTAATGTATATAATGATATTATACGGTGTTTATTATATATTATTTATTTTGTATTATATTAATATTAGATATATTATATGTTATATATATTTATTTCATTATATGTACAGTATTATATATATAGTTCATTTTATGTATAATATTTTATATATTATATATAATATGTATTATGCATATCATATATATAAAGCATTATATATAATGTTTTATATGCATATATTGTATATGAGATATGTATATATATATATATATTACATTATGTATATATAAACATATATATATATGTTACTAATTACATTATATTTATGTATTACATTTTGATTATATATTTTTACAGATTTAAAATAATATATATATATATACACATTTTTTATGAATATATATATATATATATTATGTTTTTGTATATATATACACACTATATAGTGTATCTTATATTTATTTTATTCTTATTATTTATTTCACTATAGATAATGTATATGTATATATGTATCACATATATCATATTATATATGATACTATATACATATAGTATTATGATTATTATTTCGTTTTATATATATATTATGTATATTATATATATCATATATATAGCATTTATATTATTATAAATATATATGTAGTATTATATTTGTTTTACTACATATATATATATTTATTTATTTGTCTACATATATATTATATTTTATATATCGTATTAGATTATCCTATATATTGAATTATTGTATACATTATATATTATATACATTATATATTATATTTTGTATTTTATATTATAAATATATATTAACAAAAACAACTTATTCAATATTACATTTGTTTTGGATATGGTATATTATATATATACACATTATATTACACATTGTATTACACATTATATTACACATTATATAACACATATATATCATATATATATATATATATATACATTACATGTTTTATATTTACAACATGCAATGATTGAAATAAACGTATGACTGCGGTTTCTTGATGATCGTATCATGATGTTAGTATGAATTTGAAACCATCACCCATATATTTCTCGGATAAGATCTCATCTCATGATTCAGGGTGATTTTGAACCATAGCCAACTAGTGGATGAAGTACATGAGAGCAAAGTACTATGAGAAGAAAAGTATTTCACCAGTTGTAATTGTTTTTTTTGACAAACAAAACTGCCCTTTGGCAATCTAATCAACTTGCTGAAAGATGATCCCCCACCCCTTAAGCACAATAAAAAAGTGATTGCCGCAAGTAGTTTCCACACTTCTGTAGCAACGTGCCAGTGGACGATGGTGGGATTGGATTGGGCGGCGCACGATCCACCGCCAGGTCCAAACGAGACAATTTCGCCTGAGTCGCGATGTGCAGTACACCTGCTTGAGGTTTCCTGCAGTCCGGGTTCTTTGAATCGTCCAAGATTTGAGTTTGTGTTTCAATAAAAAACACCGTTCGGGAGAAGGGGATGACTTCCCTTTGGCATGTTTTTTTTTCGACAATACGGAGAGGATGGTATCAACAAACAGTTACGTAGGATCCCCATTCTCCACGGTTTGCAGCCAATGACCTCCTGTTGCAGGAACCATGCGTTGCGCATGAGTTTCTCAACCATGCCTGGTTGCAGGAGGATAGGGGAAAGAGGCTGGCTTCCACACTATGTTCAGATCACAGGTTTTTGTCCACTTCAGCATGCAGCATACTGCTTGAGGGAGTCTTATAATATTTCACAATATTCAAAAGCAAATGTCATCAATGCTGGTAGCTTAGTAGCGGACAGTAGTATCTTGATTGTGACTACGCACATCCCGATTGTCATGATGTTAGAAAAGCTTGGGTGCAACACAGGATTCCCTGTGGTTCTACTGGTTCTAGGTAAGGACCCAAGCACAAAGCTAGTGGCCATGCCCTAGGAAAAAGACTCCACAATATCCCTCCACAAGATCCCCGGCAATCACTGGCTGTAGGCTGTCGGAACTTTCAGCTTGCAAATGATCTCAAAGTGACTCGCGCTGTGCAATGCCAGTGTGTACAGTGCGTGTTCCATCGCGTTCCATCGCGTTCCTGGTTGCATTTAGTCAGAGCAGTGCCATTTTAAGGCCAGTTTGAAAAGGCCTCACAGCCATTAAAAAGGTGCAGCAAACATGTCTTATGTATACATTCTTCAGAAGTCTTCATTGTTTCTTTAATCTCTCCATTCAACAGATTTCAACGATTGGAACTTCGGAGCTGCAGATCCTCCCAGCTCCTGTGGCCACCCTTTGGAGGTCCAATTATAGCATCCGAAGGTGGATCAGCGAAGCAAAAGCAAAAAGGATGTGGGCTGGAAGAGACACCTGGTTATGGACTTTAGATGGATTTGGTAGCATCAGCATACATATTTTGAAAAGAATACAGACTATGTACTACTATGTCTATGTTGTAATTAAAAACGGCAATCAGGATGGTTTCCCCCTTCTCAACTGGCCAATTTGATGGATTTCCCTCCGAGATTCCCACTGGGATGGGCAAAAAATACGACCCTCACAGCGAAACATGTACCAGTGGCCCTACTGGCCCAAGCTTGCATCTTGAGCCTTTCATTTTTTGCCCATCTAGCCCCATGTTTTGGCAAGACCCTTCATTTTGGGGGGTCATGTAGAGGTTGTTTGGTTGACACTTTGCATGGCTACACCAAAAAACACCGCCGTTTGCAGCACAAACCACCCGACGGGGAGCGGGTGCATAGCCGGCACCGGTGGTCTTCATTTCGGTGCGGAGGCGTGGCAGCCTTCGTTAGCCCTGAGTAAGACCATTGACGGTATTTTTGGGGGTACTCGTAAAAGACATATCCCCAGATCCAGCTGCAACATATCCAATAGTCGCAGTAGTATTCAGTATACTCTCAGTATGATTCAGAATTTCTAGTAGTCATAGATTCTATAGATGCTGATTCAGTATTATCCACCTGACTGTATATTTGTTTTTTCCACATATTTCGGGACAATGTCAATTACTGCAGCGGTTTTGGCGGTCGGGAACTGCTGTTGGTACTCGCAACAAGCTGATCATGTTTCAGATCTGAACACCATCCATGTTTTGGTACAACAAATTTGGCGCACCCTAATTAAATATGCATATACATAATCACCTACCTTTCTACATTCTACACCTTCTATACGTAGGTATACTCTTTGGCGGGTATTTGTTAACAAATTGAACTTTGAAGGCAGCAGATGATTTACCCAGCGATCCAAGCGGACCCCGTCCACGAATTGGAGTAGTTTGGCAAGAAGACACTTCGCACAAACGTTATAGCCATTTTGTGAAACCCTCTCAGAATAACTTGCTGGGTAGTGCGACTCTGTTGGGTCTTGAAGCAGCATGACTCATATGACTCGGAGTACGTAGGGTAGAAGAATCCAATAGATGACTTGAAAGCCAATGATGATTCATCTCTCATGGACTCATGGGGTTCACTGACGGGTCCGAAATCATTTGATTTGTGGATCATGGTCAAACCAATGTGGGAATTCCTGCAAGGATTTTCAGATTGGAATGGAGAGAACGGAATCTCTCTTGAGCCCAAAGATGGTTTTAATTACATAAGTTATATATATATATATATATGTACCCTGTGGTTATTTAACGTAGCCATGGAAAATCACCATTTTTGATAGGTAATTCACATTAATTCACCATAAACCGTCTATAAGTGGGCCATTTTCCATAGCCATGTTAAATAACAAGAGGGTATATAATAATATAAAATATATATAAATGTCATATGTCACTGTCACACAATTATCCCAGAATTATTTCACAGATGGAGATAGCAATCTCAAAGCCACCACTGCCAGGCAATGTCGAAGTCAGGGACAGTGAAGACGTGGAACGATGACAAGGGCTTCGGATTCATAGGCCAGGGCCGGAATTGTGTTGACAGTATATCTAAAATTATACATCCTAAAGTGCATTGCTCCATTACTGTTCATTAATTGTAGTATTTTGAAGTGGCAGGCAATCCTTCCTAGTCTCATATTTGTGATCAAGTTTGATCACACGTTATGTCTTTTTCTATTGAACAACTGAAAATCATGGTTAACAATGGTAAGAAATGATTTGTAAATCATGGTGAATAAGGGTTAGCTGTTGTTACTTACAATGGTTAATTATGGCAAATCATTGGGAATACATGGCAAATAATGTGCAAATCATTGTTAATAATGATCAATGATAGTTAACGATGGTGAATGATGGTAATTTATGGTTAATCATGGTTAATAAGGTCTAATTATCTGGTTGGTGGTTTCAAACATTGTTTTATTTTCCATAATATATGGGAATAATAATCCCAACTGACTTTCTTATTTTTCAGAGGGGTTGAAACCACCAACCAGATAACCAGTAAAACATGTAATATAAGATAGGGCGCCCCGGAAAGATAGACAATGGTTAATTATGGTTAATGACAAACACAATATTCACCAAACCTTTGATGGTCCCCTGGCAGGCCCCGAAGACGGTGGCGAGGACCTCTTCTGTCACACCTCGGCCTTGCGCGGATGCAAAGGCCTTGGCAAAGGAGACAAGGCCGGGGGCTTCCCCGGTTCCCCAATTTCAAGGAAGGGATCGGAGGGACCGGGGGAATGGGTGATTTTATGGCATCTTTCATGGGATGTTGTTGGTGATTTTACGGAATTGACTGATGATTTAGTGGCGATTTCGTGAGACTGAAGATGATTTAGTATGGTTTAACGAAGAAAACGGGTTTTGATTCCCAAAAAACAGACTAAGGGTTTGAAGCCATTGAACTAGCAATATCATGAGGGTTTACGCAGCCGGGTAGACAACCGTGATATACAGACAAATTCATGAGGATCCACAGCAAAAATAGAATAGAGGTTTGTATTATGGGGATGAAACCAACCAGAATGGTGATATAATGGGATATATTGGGATATAGTTAATGGGATATAATGGTGATATATGGGATATAATGAGTGATATAATGGGATATAATGGTGATATAATGAGATATAATGGGATATAGTTAATATAGTTAATGGGTATTTTTTTTGTTTTCTTCTCCAAGATGCCGAGAAATGAGGTACCCCAAAACTTTGGGACAAACCCGGATGCTCCTGATGGTATCCTTGAAGGATCCCCTTTTTGAAGAAATTAAGTGCCATGATAGTGCGAAAGGTTCCCTTAACAGGATGTTGTTTTGATGGTGACTTACAAGTCCATCTTTTGGGGACCCCCATATATGATGTATAAAGTATAAATTATCATCTCCATTTGTGCAAAGTGCCAAAAGTGCCATAATTCAGTGTTTATGCAGATTCACATGATTAGATTTTTGTTTGAATCACTCATGTGTTCAAATCTCGCTATACTTCTTGATACCCACTGTTTTACCATCAGATTCCCTATCCAATGTCAACTTAGGGGGGAATGCCCCATTTCAGACACCAATGATACCATGGCACAGATGCCACTTTCGGATAGATTGTGCTTGCACCTGTTAATGCACGAGGTGCGCTTCGATTCCGAGTTTGATGACCGGAAGGGCAAGATGCGCGCCGTCAACGTGTCATTAGAAGGAGGTCCTGCCGGGTTGGGCCTGGGTTGGGCCTGGGTGGTCCACAGCGTTGTTCAAAACCTTTTGAGAAAATGGGATATCGCATGATATCGCCACAAAAATGGTATGTTAGGACATGCTACTGTGGGTGGAAGAAATCCTGCACCACCTTGAATGGTTGAAACCCTATCAATAATGGGATAAAACACCTATCCACTGGTGCAGGAATTGTTCCATCCACCGTAGGACAAGAATGATGAACCAATTGACCATTGGATTCCGGGGTACCTTATATTCAGAGTATACTTAATTCCTGACAGACTTTGCGAGAACTTGAGATAGCTGTTTCGTTTGGTTTTGAATGGGAAGATTCCATTCAGTGCAGCAAGGACAACAGGTTGGTTTCCCAAGAGCTTGGGTTGTCAAGATTCCGCCTGTTCAATGATCATCACTTGCTAGCAATACTGATACTCACTAGTAATCATGTACCATGGCAATCATCTATCTTCATCATGGAAGTACATTCAATTTCACAATAATCAGACAGGAAAAACAATTACAAACATGGGTTGAGGACTTCTCCATCCTTCCAGAGTCTCTGCCAGCGCTGTCTTGGGAGGTGGTGGTGGTGGTGGTGGCTACGACGACCGCCGCGACGATCGCCGGGACGACCGCCGTTACGAGCGCCGCGATGACCGCCGCGATGATCGCCGCGACGATCGAAGGGACTACGATCGTCGGGACGACCGGCGTGATGATCGCGGCAAGGGCAAGGGTGGAAAGGGCCACCTGGCAGCCGGCGGCCAGGGGAGGAATCACTGGATGGTAGTGATGAAAATTCCTGGTGAAATCCAGGATGACATCCTGAAGCTAAATATTCCACATCTGAGATGTACATGTTACATACACATTGATTTCTTAGGGAACCAAGCCTTTTGGACTGGTAGGAGTTCTTCAGTGTGTCCAAGAGTTGGATATTTCCGGACTGGCATAGTAGGCACTGCTTTTTTTGGGAAGCAGGATTGAGTACAGAGTCCAGTTTATTCAAACTTTGAGGAGCAATGTATGTTCAGTTTCTGAGCTTGTGGGCACTTCGGAGTGGAACTTTGAAGAACTTCAGAAATTGGGATAAGAATGGATAAAATATGATAAGATACATTAATCCAACATAATCCAACCATAAACCTTTCCAAACTTTTCAGCATATCTGCAGTAACAGCATCCGGAATCATCCGGATCCGCGTTCCCCCGAGGCGGCGGCGACCGCTTTGGTGGCGACAACCGCGGGGATGACATCAGCAACGGAGGGAACCGACACCTTACAGCACGGGAGCTCTTCATGAGGCCACATGGATCACATGGGGCAAATGGCAGATGCCACAAGATTCAACCTTCAATGACTGTAGCCTCTGGTAATTTAACATAGCTATTGAAAATTGCATTTTTTTAATGGGAAAATCAACTATAAATGGCCATTTTCAATAGCTATGTTAAATTACCAGAGGGAAGCTCCAATGTCTACCACATGTTTTTTTTTTTTAACGAACAAGTGAAATTAATTAAGGTGACTATAGAATCTTTGTGATCTATCTCCAGCATACTCCGTCACTTGGATTTGCTGTGATTTTACTTTTCTGGTCCATGCACCATTGAACATCGGGATCTCTATACTGGGACCATGTCTTTTTTTTGACCTCTGATTCGCACATCCTGGCGAATCTCCACAGGCATGAGCAAGAGAAACGCTCCTCTCGACGTCGTTCCCCAAGCTCCTCCCGCTCTCGTTCGCCGCCGAGGCCGCTAGCGCGGGTGCTATCGCAGCATACGTAGCTCTTAAGTCATGGGGGACCCCCAGTCACTGGCTGGCTCAATACTAAAGTCATGGTCATCCATGGCTGGATGATTTGGGGGTAATCCCGGGTAGGAAACCTCCATAATTAAATGGACTGCAATCATATGTAATGACATGTACACCAATACCTGTAGACATTGTATATTACAAAATGCAACATGAATCATATGTTTATGAATGTTTCCAGGACGGGATGTACTATAATACTGTAGCCACTGGCCGCTTTGATTTTAGGGAATCATTCATACATTTCAGATCTTTCAGAACTCATATCCTCACATATCAGATGTGACATGTGAAGAATAGAAGTAAAGCCAAGTAAAGCCGCCACAAAGTAGAATGAAAGGCGTTCTCTGAGACATGAAAAGTGCCATTCTGAAATTGCCACATGTTGCCGGTTTTCACCTCATCCACCTTTCCGAACCTGCTTTGGAGAACATTTTGACATTCTGCGTGCAGAAAATCTGTCCCCAACATTCAGTGATCTTCGTGGATTGAATTGTCACTGGTGTTCTGAAAAAAACTTCGAGGTCTTCGCTGATGTTTTAGACCAAGCTGGGAGAAATGGGACATGGCGTTCAATTTTGTGGGATTCTTTGAAAAAAGCATAAAAACAACGTTTTTCAGACATGACATGACCTACTGGAGATGTTCAGATGATGAGTTTGATTAATATCACCATCGCAGGGTGTCCATGTGGCCAGTGATGTGGGAGGTTTTTATCCCACCACCAGAGATATCTTGGAAGATAGTTGGACTTCATGCCATCTTCATGCCTGAAAAGGTGGTGCCCCGCAAGAAAAATAAGTCGGTTTTTCGAATCATGAAAACTATAGATATATCACCTATAAACATATCTATAAACCATAGTTATTGGAGCTATAAACCAACTTAGCTATCTTGGGGGCACCACCTTGTATCAATATCTATCAATCCCCTGATTTTCACAGAGATTTTGCCAGGGAGCGCCGGGCAAACTTCAACTGAGAGTGTGGAGTGCCGAGACTTGGGGTGGTTGTGTAGATCCTTCGCTACATCAAAAACCAATGAATAGGTAGATTGATGGGGTTTTCCATGGTGGTACCCCAAAATGGATGGTTTATTAATGTTTATAGTGGAAAATCTTATTAAAACCACCATTTCAGGAAACCTCACTATATATAATATATATATATATTATAATATATATATAAGATGTATATTTCATGTGGAAGTGGGCTTGCCGCCTGGTGTTCCGAACACACCCATTCTTTTGCATGTTTGGCACCATGTATGCATGGACTTGTCTTGCAGTAATTAGGCGACTGTTTTTGTGCACCCCAAGAATCCTCGACTGAGAATGACAATACCTGCGTTGTGCCGCAGTGCCGGGCATCCGGAGAGCAAACAGGAGGGTAAAGTGAAAACAGACCAGGGATGCATAGTGAGTTAGTCCAAAAATGGGGCTCCAAGTTCTGAGGCTGTCAACAAGGAACATGATTTTATTATCCATTCGAATTCGGGGGGGGCACCTTTTTCAGAAAGCCCATAGGGCTCATGTTAGTCAAGCAATAGGCCAATATAATCCAATATGTATGAATATGTAGTGTAACTATCCAATATGTATGAATATGTAGTGTAACTATCCAATATGTATGAATATGAAGTGTAACTCATTGTAAGTCCATCTCTATCATAAGCTATGCTTCTTGGTGAAATATCAGTGAACAGTCACTTCGAAATCGACGGTCGCTCCGGAGGGGTCACCGAGTTAGGCCTAAGGGATGGCACAGGTGCCGATTTCGCTGACTTGCTGATCTCATCAACAACTAATTTTCCAAGTTGAGATTGAACCTCAATATCAGTCGTAGATTGGAGATCAACAACATTATATAATTTAATTGAGATATAAGTGAAGATCCACCCCTTTTTTCTGGCGTGACTCAAAACCATTCAAAACATTTCAAAACCAAAAACGTGTTTTTCTGTCATGTTAAATGTTGCCACGGAGGCCCGAGCCTTTGAATATTGTCTTGTCAAAATGGGTCATTGGTGATGGCTGAGACCGGAGGGTGGCTCATTGGTTGTCTTGATGTCTTGATCATGTTTCGTGCCTTTCAGGCACCCTCCGGTAGCAGCGAAAACCATTGAAGTCGCTTTGTGCAGCCAATGTTCTGAAGATTTCTGAAGATCTAAAGGAGTTTCTGAGCTTTTTTAAGCTCGAGTGCAACAAGCTCGCCATTTGGCCATGTGAAATCCATTTCTTCATGGAGACTCTTTGATGGACGGTGGGACATAGATGTTGAATGTGTTGCTACTTGGTGAAAGCCTGTGTTTACTCCTTGTTTGGTATGCATATAGATATATAGCGAATTCATATGAATTCATATGCTATGTATTGAATATGTATTGTCATGTATTGTATACTATGTGTGTATTGAACATTTACTGTAGACCGTAAACAAAAAGGACACCTCACTTTGAGTTCTACGTGTTACCGGCAGCCAAATGACCCGAACACTGATTTTGAAGATGCCATGAATATGGTTGATATTCAGATTCGAGAGCCATAGCTTGGGCGAGCCTGTTCACAGCAGTTCCGTCAATACTCGCCGGACTGGTGGATCTGGAGGTATGCGCCTGCGCGTAGAAACGCTGTCCGCTAAATCGGCTCCAAGGGACCCCTCAGTAACAGTAGCCTGACATTTTTTCCAATGGTTTCGGCTCCCAAAATGAATGGATTTTGAAGGGCAGCCCAATGCAGGCTGGAGACTCCAAGGGTGCAGAATCCTGGACAGCTGATTATCACCAAAAGGTGATGCTGTCAACAGCTTTACCCGCACCATGTTGCTTTTTGTCTTTGAGCCATCTTTTGAGGATGCAGTAGACACCTTCCACATGTCCCATTCTGTCGTAAAGTTGAGCTCTCTTGTTTCGGCCGAAATACGGTGGATGTATTTTAGATGATTTTGGTATATTTTGGTCTCAACCACCCATGTTCATGCATGTTCATCCATTTTCCATACTGTTCAAGAAGGAAATTTCAATTTATATGATCAAAAAACTTATGCTACTAAGTGATGATAAGTGCGTTGGTGCACTATTGGATATAAACGGAATAGTGATTACCAGTAGTACCGCACAAGGTGGTGGCGGAAATTTCAAAAATAAGAAACCTATAGGAGAGGTTGGTTGTAGTGAAACACGGATGGCAGAGCGAATCCACTGATAGACCGACCGGTGGTTGGAGTTGTGTTTTTTGGAATGGTTGCAATGGTTGCAGCGGTCACCTTACCACAACTGCAGGATGTAGTGTGGTGTAGGGCAGTTGTAGTTGTAGCTGTAGTTGTAGTGTAGTGTACTATAGTGGAGCTGTAGTTGTAATGCAGTGTAATTAGATGTAATTAGTGTTGTTGCAAGTGCAGTTGCAGTTGTAGTCGTGGTGTGGTGTAATTAGTGTAGCGAAGTGCATTGTAACGTCGTGTAGCATTGCGTAGTGTATATGGTGTGGTATTGTGTAGTGTAGTCTAGTGCAAGGTTGTGTAGTTGTAGTTGTAGTGTAATGCAGTGTAATTAGTGTACCGTAGTTTAGTGTAGTGTAGTGTAGCGTAGTGTAGTGTAGTATGTGCAGTGTAGTGTAGCGTAATGTAGTGGTAGCTATAGTTGTAGTTGCAGTTGTAGCTGCTGTTGTAGTTGTAGCGTAATGCAATGTAATCAGTGTATTGCAGTTTTTTTAATGTAGTGTGTTTGTAGTTGTATTTGTAGTTGTAGTGTGCTGTAGTGTAATTAGTGTAGTGTAGTGTAGTGTAATTAGTGTAGTGTAATGTAGCGTAGTATATTTGTATTTGTAGTTTTAGCAATAGTGTAGTGTAGTGTGGTACGTAGTTGTAGTTGTAATTGTAATAGTTTGTCTCCATCTATCTATCTATCTACCTATCTATCTATCTATCTATTTGTCTCTCTATCTATTCATCCATCTATTTATTTGTCTATCTGTTTGATTGTTGTTTGTCTGTCTATTTGTAAGCTTGAAAAGGCAGCAATGCTGCGAGACTTCCTCAGTTTTTGACGACATCCAAAACGAAGCAATTCAGCGAGACTTCCTCAATTTTTTTGAACTTGACAACATCAAAAACGAAGCAATTCTGCGAGACTTCCTTCAAAAATGGAAAGTTTAGTGCAGAGCTGGCGGCCTCATACCAATGCGTTGTGCGATTTTTCCGATCTACGTCTCTAAAGTACGCCTGCCACGAAAAATAGATGCCAGGTCATACGCAGTGCCGCACCTGTCACGCAAAATCATCTTCCCAAAACTGAAGATCTGATGCCCCAAAATGCAACCCATCTCAGGAAATCAGCGCCCTGACCTCCTAACATCTCTGATGAACATGTCTCTTGTACTGCGCCTGCCACAGAATATGTCTCTTGACAGATCCTCTGCAAATGTCCCACGCCTGCCATCGTTTTTGGAAATGCTACAAAACCCTCACGTCTTGCTCACTTTTAGCAAGGTGCAGAATCCCTTGCGCCTGCCGCGCAAAACCACATCTGAACCTTCAAAAGTGATCCGAGCATGTGGTGTATTTAACATTTTCGCACCTGCATCTTCTTTCTTCTGCCTCTTTCCCTTCTCTGATCTTGATCTTCTCTCTTCTACTCTTCTCTTCTCTGACTCTTCCCACCTCTGCTTTTCCATCTGTCCATATTGTCGGAAGTTTGACTTTTAAATTTCCTTCGATAAGTTCCTTTCTTTTGGGGTGCGGATCAGCGATTGACAACTGCGCCGGCTTGCCAGGTACATGCTGAAATCCTTGGCGTCTCACTTCTTGGCCCCCGAACGACTTCCGACCAAAGGCAAACCGGGGACCCAATTGCGAAGCCGGACGTGGGGAAGCGTCCGGGCGAAGTGCTTGGGAGGTTGAAATTTGTTTGTGGGCACTTTTAGAAAATATTTAATTAATAGAGTTTCAACACATTATACATATTCGATGTTTTTCTTGAAACATAGAATGCAAACATGTCCGACGTGTGATAAGCTGGGATTGAAGAACATTGACGCAGGATGCTCCGAGAGTTTGCCAGGTCAAACCTTTGCTTCACATTTGGCAGTCTTGATCGATGAATCTCAAGGTGGGGGTTCAGCCTGGTTTCTGGTGATTGGAAACATATTTTAGGGCACCTAGAAATTTTACTCGGCCCTGAGTCCTTAGTGACAACGTGTGAAAGCATTCATCCATGTTCAAGGCAGCATTCCCAGTGATATGAAATTGACAATAGGTGTCGTAGTCACCATGGTTAGAGTAAACTCACAGCAGCCGGACATGTTGAGACGTCGCGTGTGCCAACACAAAACTCCCAAAAATTGGAGCTGAATTTAGATGTCCTGTTTTCACCTTTTGTACTCATTTTATACCCATGTTTGCCATCGAGATCCATTCGGCGGCATTCGGCTAAAGATAGGCTTCAACCTGCAACATCTGTGTTTTCTCTCGGCAGAGGACCACACTTGAAAGTCCTGGCAAGTTGTCTCCGTGCCATTCTTGGACTCAAGGACGGCATACGCCATGGGCCATGGCCGAGGGGTCCGGGGGGAGAATCATATCAAAAAAAAACATGCAATTCCTTTGTATATTATATATATATAAGTATGTTTATTTATAAATATATTTCATTGATTTCCTTTTTTTTATTTTATTCTATATTCATCTATATGCTATATATTATATTTCATTCACCAATATGCATAATCCAGCAACAGAAGTACAAAAGCGGGCTGACCATCCTCTGCATGAAGTGTGTTGAAGATGGCCCATTGGTTTCTGACAGGCAGAAAGCGATGACGCGGAAGAAATCAGGAGTTTGAACAGGCGATGGTGATCCCATGGCATTTGAGAGGAATGGGAGGAATGGACCATAACCCGATGACTAGCTGTTGAGATCTTTGAGGTTTGATACCTGGGACTCCATAAATGATTGTATTTGAAATATCTGAAAGTTCCTGATTAGAGTTGCTCACACATTCGCCAAAACCCATCCTGATATCATCCTACCAGACCAAGACAATGGAATCGTCGAATCGTTGGCACGACGCCAGTGCCGATCATGGACAGCACCTGGAAACATCCGCATCGTGTATGATATGTATGATACACGTGTCATCACTTGTCACCAAGTGCAGTAGATGTGATGTTTTGACCCCGAACGCCTTTGATAGAAAAACACATGTGGTTTTGCAAACATGTGACGGTTTCTGACAATGGAGACTTGACACCAACGATATGATGATTGCACTTGCAAAATAATGCTGCATTGCATCCTTTCAGATCTAAAAACATCTAAAAACAACTCAGCCATTTATTAACAGCCCCGCTATGGCGCGTCGTTTGTCAACGCCATTGGTCATGTTGGCGGCTGGACTAAGTTTGACTGCGATGCAGGAAGGTTCCTTGGCTGCGAGATATTCAAGATTGCAATGGCAGATACCAACTGAGTGTGTCGGAAACATTGCTTATCAAATATTATTGGCGACTTGTGTTTTATGATGCAATGGCATAGTGGGAAAACGGTGGGAAGATACATAATGATCATAATGTCATCAGCAGACGTCGGGGATGTAACCAGCAATGATGTTTCAACATTGTTTAAACATGTTCGCTGCAACCCTGACGTTGCGCCGCGCCTGACTTCAGGTGGCTATGAAGATAAAGTTGATGTCAACACCCCAATCAACATATTGTTCATAGGGGTGGCGAATTTTGATCCCTTGTGAAGATAAACTTGATGTCATTACCCCAACCAACATATTGTTCATAGGGGGTGGCAATTGTTTATCCCTTACGAATATAAAGTTGATGTTATTACCCCAATCATAATATTGTTCATAGGGGGTGGCAAATTTTGATCCCTCATGAAGATAAAGTTGATGTTATTACCCCAACCACCATATTGTTCAAAGGGGTTGGTGAATTTTGATCCCTTATGAAGATAAAGTTCATGTTATTACCCCAATCAACATATTGTTCATAGGGGGTGGCGAATTTTGATCCCTCATGAAGATAACGTTGATGTTACTACCCCAGTCAACATATTGTTCAGAGGGGTGGCTAATTTTAATGTGATGATGATCATGATGTGGTGATGATGATGATGATCATCATCATCATCATTATCATCATGACGATTGTAAGTGTGGAACAACGTCCGGGTTGGGGCGAACATGTTTAATTAAACTAGTTTAAACATGATGTAGCCAACATGCCAACTACACATGAAGTGAAACTATTATAAGCCAGTCAAGAACCCTGCCACAGCATGGCCTGGACACCAGGTTTCATTCCTGAGGGACGAGGACGCCGACTTCAGCAAAGCCGAAGGGAAATCGAAGAGTTTCCCCGAGAAAGTCACCAGAATCAGTTTCATTGATGCCATTGATGCTTCTGAACTACAGTCAAAATCAGTCAAAAAGAACTACAGTCAAAATCAGTCAAACAGGACAACAAATACATATATATATATAATTATATACAATCCTTACTGCAATTTTTGCTCTTCTCTAGCCAGGTAAATGTGACTTCGCAATCGTTTTGCTCACGGCTACGCAGCTTTAATCGCTTTGAGATAGATTTGGCGAAAGCAAACACAACAAATTTATTCCGCAGGAACACAAATTTGTGAATAAGACAACTCAGACCTACAGGTTTCTGCTGTTCAGCAGGCCCGCAGGGACCAAAGTTGTCGCGAAGGGCGATGTGGTTGGCACCAGTGCTGGGGAAAGCAGTGTCTTGGCAACCGTGAATTAAGCAATGGGCCGGTGTCATGACCAGCCATGACAGGGTGGAACTGTGGTAACCTGCTGTGGCTGTTGAAGTCAAGGCAATGGGGTTAAGGGCATGAGTTCATGTATATATATAATTATATATATAATTATATATATAATTATACTTATATAATTATACTTATATAATTATATATATATATTATTATATATTTATAGAAGTATAAGTTCCAGTAAACCAGTAGACAAATATGCTCATTCTTTGAGTCCCAATCCGATCATCTCATCGCATCGAATTTTCAACGGCGAGGCAGCGGCGATGGCAGAAGAGCCGATCTCCTCTGACCTGGTCCTGGTGGATGCAACCAACCTCTTGCTGCCGTCCACGGAAACGTTTCTTTGTCGATTCTGGGAAAATGTAAAGGATTTTATTTATCAAGAATCAATCATGGTTTTAATTATGGTTATATATCCTGAAGAAAACAGGGGATTGATTATATCATTTCATTATTAACCATATCATTATTGATTATTGGTTATATATCATATCATTATTACTATATCAGTAGAAATTATCAATAACCTCCAGTCATCTCCCATTTAGAGATGATTTTCCTGTAGAACATGAGGATTTTCTGCAGGATTTTCCAGGCCTGAAATCGTTCCAGCAGTTTTTCCGCCGAGGAATTTGAACCGTTTGCTTCGCAAACTTCAGCAAGAGACGGGTTTAAAGCTACGCCCCTCGGCGAAAAAACATGGTGATGTTGATTTTGGTGAATCCCAATGTCATCCGGGTTACAAGTACTTGGATGATCAATCCCCAAAGATCATGAAATCAACATGACGATTTGCAGATGGCAAGAATCACAGTTGGCTTTTCAAATCTCTCATCGCCATGGTCGCAGGATTGATATGTCCGCCCCGTGGAATCCAAGACAATCGGGACGAGTTTGAAGCGACTGGCTGCGGGTGATGGGAGTTGGGTCAAGTCATTGGGTAGCTGAAAACTGGGAAAACTGGAGAATGACTGGTTTCAGATGGTTTCTGGAGAAGAATGATTGGTTTCAGTATGAAAATGACCGGACTCTGTGGCTGACATCCATATCCTCCAAAAGAAAGCGTTGCAACTGGGGCATCCTGTGGGTTCCCGGCCTGCAAAACTCATGGCATCATGGGGGGGTCCGTACATGTCCGTACAGTAATATCACCATTATATCGCCATTGAATCACCATTACATCATGGTACAACCAGTATATCACCTTCTTATCACCATTGTATCACCTACAGCAGGTATTTCTGATGTCTGTCCACAGATCTGTGAGGCATGGTTGAAGCCGTTCAAGAAGGACTTGAGCGTCAGTTTGGACACTGTGGTGATTCTCGCCGAGGACATTGCAGAGGGTAATTTTGTTGATGATTAGATTGGGTGTACCCTTTGGTTGTTTAACATAGGGCCAATGGCCATCAATGGCCAATTAACTTCGATGGTTTTCAATAGGATCTATACCTATTAAACATGGTGATTTTCCATAGCTACATTAGATAATCAGAGGGGACTATCTAATACCATGGGAAATCCGTTCTTAACCAGTGTCAAGGGACGAGGAGCCCCCAGAATCATCTCCGTTGAGGCAATTAGTCGGCAGCCAGGGATATCAACAACAAAAACAACAAAATCAAGGGATGATTCTATCAATTGGGGACATTCCGTTTGAATGAACTTTGGGACTTTCTGGCGGATATTGATATCCAAGTTTGCTGAGTAGATGAGCAATTGCATATCTTGGAAAAGACACCATTGGATTTTTGTTTGTTCGATATAGATATAAACTCAGTCCATTGGGTCTGTTGCATCCAATCTATTCATTGGGGGCCAGCCTACTGGTGGATATACCCTCCCGAAATCATGGCTTGCTGGAACACTCTCCCAGCCACGTTTGACGCCTAGCGGGTAGCTTCACTCTTCCCGGCCAGTCGTGGCTTTGTTTGAAACTGGGGCCCATGAAATAGCAATTTTAATGGGAAATAACTTGAAACAGACCATCAAATTGGATTCGGTGGGTTTCCCCTAGAATCCATTAATATCCTGTGATGATCCTACGAATGTTTAGCATTGTTTATCCCCTTATTATCCCTGTTCGACTATATATTTTATATGATTGTGATGATTTGATTCTCCCGTTATTATCCCTATTGATGAATATATGATTATGGTTATCCCATGTTTATACCTTGTTTATGACTATCCGATCGCTATTCTTATGAAACCATATAAACCATATATTATATATATAAGCCTCCATGGCCCTCAGTTCCTTGGAAGGAACGTTTCATGGCACGTGCCAAGCAGATCCCCCTGCAGCTGATGTCCATCCAAGCAGGTTCGCGCTTGCAGGAACGGTTTCAGCGCCCTGGCGCGGCGCAAGATTGATAGGGTGTCCTAATTCAACACCTCCAAAATCAGTCTGTGAATAGAAATATATATATGGGTGCAAGTCAAAATAGGAGGTCCGGAACAAGCTCCGGGACCACACCCGTTCCATACCCCCGTTCCATACCCCCGTTCCATACCCCCTTGAAGGATCCGTTCCATACCTCTGTTCCATACCTCTGATCCATACGTTATAATATATATATATTATTATTATGTATATATATATATATGATATAATTATGTATATATATAATTTTATGTATATATAATTTTGCAAATACATATACAATAGATATATAATTAACTTATAATTGTATTTTTAATATATATATATATGAACATGTGCAATTTGATTTTACATGTTCGCGCACATACAGCCCAAGCCCTGTGATTGTGTTGGGAAGTCTGTGCCTGCAGCACTTAAAACTGCTACCTACTTTGTTGTGTGATGGTAGGGATGCGCTTGGCTGCTGCCAGCTGGCAGTCTAAGAATGGATTGCTTGTAACCCTCCCTCCCTCTCAACCTGTGGCAGGTTTCCGACTGCACCACTTACAGTTGTTGCCTGCTGCGGCACAGCTGTGTGTGATGTTTGATGGTAGAGATGCGCTCGCCAGCTGCCAGCCAGCTGGCAGTCTACTCTCGCTCCAATCTGCCAATTTTGATAAAAATGCGCTGCGTGGTTGATAAATAGATGTGCTGCGTGGTGGCAGCTGTGCTGGAGTGGGCCGTTTCGTTCCAGACCCCGTTCCATACCGTTCCATACCCGTTCCAGACCCGGACCAACCCTGTACCACCCCTGACCCACTCTCGGGTGAACAAATGGCAGGTTCTCACATAGAGGTCTGAAGCTGAGTGGACAGCTTCACATGGTAGCCTGTGGATGACGCTGGCTACCGGTTGTGTCCTAGCTAGTGCACGAGAACTAGCCATGCAAGGCAAACCTGCGTTGAACAGGTGTACAGCAAGCATGTCGTGCAGATATGTGCAGATGAGAAGTGAAAATGAGCGGCAGCCAGCGTGAGTAGCTTTAACAAGCATATCCCTGAGATGTATATTGCACACATATTTACAATAGGTGTATATATATATGTACATATGTATGTATAGCTTATATTTCATCACACTCCAAAGGTCCGGAACAAGAACAGTTACGAAGCCCCTTCGTTCCATACGTCCGGAACACCGCGGAACGTTCCATACACAATTTTGACTCACAGCCATATATATATATAGACATATTCTAGACTGTTCATGTTTGGAATGGTATACCTGTGGATGGATCAAAACCATGCAAAACCTATTATTTGGGAATGGCAATCGATTCAATTGCCTGCTATCTTAACGTTCACCAGGGTACTGGTACCGTTGGGTTTTTATTCATAGTTCCTTTGCCACAGCAAGACTCATGTTGCTACCTGTGGACTTTTCAGGTGTGCAGTGGCTGCCAAAGTCCGGTTGGTTGTTGATTTTAATGGGGATTACAGTAACCAATATGGGGGTTTCCATAAATGGGTGAACCCCAAAATGGATCAAAATGGTTGGTTTATAATGGAAAATTCTACGTATTATATAAACATATCAAAATGGATGATTTAGGGTACCTTCTCATTTCAGGAAAATATGTTTTGGGGATTTTTGGGGAATATCAGAATCCCATTGTTTGGGGAATCCGGTTCTCAACTAGGGAGATTATATTGGGGAATCCCCTAATATATTTGATGAAGTATCATTCCCCCCATCATATCAAACCAGTCCATCACCTCACCTCAGGTTCACCACATGTACCGGGGAATTTCCCATCACCAATTTTATCGTAACTTGATCCCCGGAAATTCCGTTCTAAAACGACCCAGGTATCGTTTGACCAACGGCCTGCTGATCAGCATTGCCGAACGCTATGGCAATTCGGACTCAGTGGCCAAGACAGGACCGGATTTGGCCATCGAACAAGCGACCCGAAATGTGGCTGCTGCCATGTTTGCGCTGATCGATGATCCACAAGTGTCACTGGACTGCAAATGGGAGATTCGTACATGTATATATACATATATATATATATTATACATATATATATATATTATACATATATATATATTATACATATATATATATATATATTATACATATATATATATTATACATATATATATATATTATACATATATATGCCTTTTCTTGGGAGGATCGCAACTGACCAACAGATTTAGGGATGAACTTTTCATCAAGTGTGTCAAGAGTTGGACCTGTCATCCATATTGGCCAGAAGGATGAACCCCGCTCTCCTTCAACCAGGGGTTCCTGGGTTCCTTCAACGAGGGTTCAAGATGGTGCCCAGGAAGTTGCAACCAGTTGCAATCACTTCAGGAATCTTCGCAGGAAGGCAATGTTCAGAACATCCCAAGTGAATATCAGATGATATCTGGCAGGTTGCAGGGGTGGGACCTGAAAAAATCCTGGCATTTTCCACCTGGCAAGGCCATGGTTCCCAGGCGTGGTGCCATGGTTGCCCACCAAGGCGCTATTTGAGGGCGCTACCTGAAGATCAGGTGGCCAAAATCCTCCAGAAGCACGGCTTGTAGCGCTGGGGCCACCAGATGGGTCCAATGGGTGATGGAGCCAGTGAGTCAGGGAAGTACCCTCGCGTAAACACAAAAAACTATGGAACAACAGGATGTTTATAGGTAAATCATCTATAAATGATAAATGGTCCAATTTGGTGGTGTTCGGCGGAGATTTGGCTTATTATTTTGTGCCTCCCCCTTTAGCAGTAGCACATCCATTGCGCACCAACAGCGAGAACCTCCGCGTTGGGGGTTCTTCTTTGGTCTAATTTGAAAGGATGGAAGGGCGAGAAAAGCTGCGCAGAAGGTTGCAACAAGTGCTGCGAGTCTCATTGATGGCTGGATGATCACAATCCGCAGCACAACGTTTGCTGCACACGGCCCAATGACGGAAGGAGAAGAACTCGCAGCTTAGAGCCCAATGATGGTTGAAACCCTAGAAATAATGGGATAAACCACCTGTACAAACAGGATCAACTACTATTTTTTTCCATATTTCTTCTGTAAGAGGACTGCAGATGTAGATACAAGAGCCAAGAGAGGGTGATATCCCATGCGATTCCCCAAATTTCCTATTGCAACGTGATCATATCCACAATGCCGCTTTTATACAATGCCCCTCCTACTGGCATGCTGTACTCAGGTGTAATTACACTACACTCAGAATGCACTTGGTACACAACAACAAAAATGGGACAATCATATCTGATAATCATATCTAAATCTTGGCCCAAATTTGTTGGAATGTCTTGGGCACTCAAATTTATCACACAAGCAGCAGAGTTTCCAGACTTTCAACAAATGACAAGCTTTGGGGATATGTATGGATATGCCATAATTTGCCATCATCATCCTAAATACTGCGGTAAACCCAATTGTATATAATTATATTTTAATATATTATATATACAATTATATATAAACCATACTGTACCCCAAATCATCATAAATGGGACGGTGTAAACCATCCCCGAATGGCAGTTGTTTATGGCATTGGGTTGCCCAGCCCGGAAATCCGCCCTGCAGCCCTACGGCCCTGCGCAGAACGTTGATCCAAAGTTGATCAGTTTGGCGCGCCCATGTTGCCAAATGTGATTAGAAATATGATGTTGCTCATTGTTGACATGTTCAGCATTAGATGGCAATCAACCATACATTTTATGTACATCACACATATATATATATATATATATGTTTATGTATATCATACTGAGTATATTGTAACTACATCTATTTTGTATTATATATTATATATATATTATAATAATTGATAATAATAATGATGATAATAATAATACTTATAATTACACACATAACATATACATTATATCTACAGCACATAGATAAATCAATAAATAAAAAAATAGATAGAAAGCAAAAACAAATATACATATATATATATATATTTGCTTTCGTGGGAATAGTTTGATGACCAATTACGGTCTCGTTGATCGATGACGCAATGAACACTTCCTCAACGCTTCACGAGCGTTTGTCGCGCCTGGAATCACAGGCGCAGCACCAGTCCAACGACTCTGGGATGATAGTTGTGCCCAAGTATCACTGCTTCATATCGATACACTGATCATTGGGTATAAGTAGGTTCTATATATGGTTCTATCATGTGTATATACACATATTTACATACATGCATACATACATACCTACCTACCTACCTACCTACGTACGTACGTACATACATACATATAATTATATAGATATATATTATACATAGTAATATAGATATTGTATCCCCACCTATCTCAGAAATACAGGTTGGTTGATGTTGGTAATATGTCCGTGATCAGCGGGTTTTCTATTTAAATGATGAGGGGCAATTCAGCCAGCAAGGTACAAGTTTTAGGGATCATCCTGTCCATACCATCCATCTGGGATAATTTGGGTATGTCTCCTCCATTGGCTGCATTGGTGAAATCCTGACTTGTCCTATTGAAACCACAGTTTATCTCCATGTTTCTAGTTAATCATCACCAGATGGACCACCATGCTTTCACCATGTTTAATCATGTTTCACCATTTTCATGATAATATAATCACAGTATACACATTTATACAAAGATCATCATAGATCATCATATATCGTCATAGATCATCATAGATCATCATAGATCATCATAGATCATCATAGATCATCATAGATCATCATAGATCATCATAGATCATCATAGATCATCATAGATCATCATAGATCATCATAGATCATCATAGATCATCATAGATCATCATAGATCATCATAGATCATCATAGATCATCATAGATCATCATAGATCCATTTTTCCACCATTTGTCATTGTACAAACATTTTATAAACGGTTTTCAACCCATCCTTACAACCCTTCGTTTCCCGGTGCAGGCATCCTTCCAGGAGCTTCACCTCGATGCCTCGGGGGCGTTGCCGGCGTTGCCGTTGCCGGCTCGGCGGCTGCGCGTGTGGCGCCTTGGACGACGAGGCGATGGTGGGGGATGGGACCAATTTTCGGCCGATTTGGCCAATTCCTGTATGGTATGTATGGTATGTATGGGATGTATGGTATGTATGATTCCTGGTAAATCTTCAGGATTCGTAAGGTGCATCAATTACATGAATATAAGCATATATATATATGTGTGGAATAATGTGGTGATCTGATATAGAAGATATGTGATGATGTTGGGTATGTGATCGATGTATATATATATAGAAAATCACACTAGAATTTTCGGCTAGAAACTATAATTGTAGTATTATGTGGTCACGTGATCCCTACCAGTACCAAGGAAACAAATTGCAAACAAGTTTGACTTTGCCAAACATCTCTGAACTGAAGTCCCTAGCTGTAAGTGACAACAATGTATGCTATTCAAAGGAATAGTCAGCTTGAGAAGTAGAATACAAAAACATGTTTGCATGCAAAGTTTGGTCAAGAAAAACCACCTTAAGTTTATGTTTTCTTGATGGTATGTTGATTATGTTGCAAAGATGCCGAACAGAATGGTTTTTCTTGGAAACCCAGACTTCCATTTTCAGCAACCCAGTCTGCCCAGGTTGAACAACGGTACGTTTACTCCGAGTTCTTTGGCCCAGTGCTTACAACAGTGCTACCATGACCTGTTGGCCAAAGCGCGGCAGGACGACGTGTACGTAGAGGAGCGCGCTGTGCGTAGGGTTGTGGCGGCCGGGCAACATCACTTGTATTCACTTGTCATTGAACAGGATCCAACCTATATTCACTTGGAGTTGGATGATGATAGGTAAATATATAGGTAAAGCCTATCAGTTTTTTTTTTTTTTTAAAGTTGCCTCAAATGTTGGCACCAGTGGAGCTTCATGGATGGTATTGCAATGTATTGCAGTGTTTTTTTCGAGGGTCAACAGCTGCGCTGTTCATTGCCATGATTGCAGAGCCAGGTAGTGCAGAAACCTGATGGACACATTCCTGCTTCTGATCAAGCATTGAAGCATGTTTCGAGTATGACACAGACATGGCTTATCTATGCATATATATATATATCTACCTATGCTATACGTCCAAAGATATATGCAAATAAATAAATATAAATAAATATAAATAAATATATATATATATACACGCAATTTCATTGATCCAAAGATCCGTGGATATTTATGGCCCCCTTAGATTCTCCATTTCCGAGCCCATCTTCGCATAGTCGGCCTCAGGATCTCTCGGTGCTGCCAAACTTCGCCAGCGAAGGCCATGGTCAAGTTGACACGGACAGATCCATGCCCTCTGGTAAACTAACATAGCTATTGAAAATTGCCCATTGAAATAGTTGATTTACCGAACTGAAAGATGGTGATTTTCCATAGCTACGTAAACGTTTACCAGAGGGTAAATGAACATCAATGAACACTGTTTGTTAACTGCCAGGTATTATAAAACAAAATCCCCAGTTCTGTTGTTTAGTTCTTAGTTTGCTGCTTGGGTTGGTTGGGTTTGGGTTGGCTTAGGTCAATGCCAGATGGAGCCTTCGGACCTGCAGGAGCGCCTTTTGTGGTCCCCAATTGGTACCAATTGGCATAAAATAATAATAATATATAAAATATTAGATATTATTATATATATATATACATTGTTATATGATATATGTAATATATGTTTATATACATACATGTACATATATATATATATATATCCAATAGAGTAGTCAAGATTTTGAGCATTATTTGTTTGATGTTTTGGAAGAATTTACTGTACGTAATTAGTTTCAATACCAGGTTCAAGTCTTATTCTTCGCTTCAAACTTGGGTCGTCCGGATGGTGCCGAAAGCCTGAAGAGTTGAAGAAGTCAAGCCAACGCAACCATTGGTGGATTGATCAAATTGATGTCGATGTGTTTTTCAATACTGTGGATGGTGGCGAAATCCAACAGTTGAATACAGTTGATGGTTTGTCCCATTATTTATCTTACTGGTGCGTAGTAGGGAATGGATGGGAATGGGGGAATGGGATGATTATTGATAGTTACTTATTGTGGATCATTCCCTCATTCCCTGCTAAGCACCAGTAAGATTTTATGGGGTTTCAACCATCCAAGGTGGTGCAGGACTTCTTCCGCTTGGGGCTTTGGGACTTCCGCCTTCCGCAATTCTCGTTGGAGCCAGGAGCATGTCGCGGTGGGTGGCACCTTTGATCGTTTGCATCAGGGACACAAGGCGCGTTTCTTGGAGACGTGAGACGTGAGAAAGGGACCCATGAATAGCCACCAATGTAGTACCATATGAATGGTATATTCATGGTGATGACAAATTGTTATATTAATAATTAATACCTATTATGATATATTACCCATTGATTTATATATGATTTTCTCCTGGGCATGTTATAATTGAACAAATTTATTGATGATTTAGGTATGAGACATCAATCTGTCTATTGGAAATGGTGATTTTCCTTAGTGGTGTCAACAAAAGGTGCCTTGGGTAGCGCTGGAGGCCATATAACTTGATCCATAATGTGGCTCACCAATGGCTTGTAGGTCTTGTTATGGACCAAACCAGCCAATTCCGGGACATTGTTTTGAGTCTTGAGCCGAAAATCAAGTGTATATAACTGTATACTGTAACCACCATAAACCTCCCACTGCTGATAGTCTAATTCGATATTTTTAGTGACTATATGCCATATGCAGAATAACTTTGATTCGTCCTGATCCGCCACCTTTTTTGGCCAATCCCATTTCCAAGAAAACCCATGCTGTCAAGTCCTTGGTGTGATCAGGTACTCTTGAGCTGTGCTGCGGCCATTGCCACCAAAGGCCGGCAAAGGGTTACCCACGTGGAGCGTTTGGCGATCGTGTTGTCGTGTTGTGATGTCTTGTGATATGTTGCATATGCAATATATGTATACATCTATGATTATACACACATGTAATCACATGTAGATAATATACATATGATATACAATTTGCATTGCATTGCGCACTGGAGGCCTGGTGGTGGGCATCTCTGGCGAGCCGCTGCTGCGGGAAAAGGTAGACCATGGGATTTGGATTTAAGGTGACTTTTTTTTGCCAGGGAAGTTGATGATAAGCCATTGGAAAATTGGGCGACCAAATCAATTGGGCTACCAAATCAATTGGGCTATCATAATTTTTCATCCCAACTGTTGGTGATTTTGGATGGAATTGGGATGAATTGGGCTATGATTACATATGATTACCATATTCGTGGACATTTGGGGCAGCCTGGCTTTCAGATCCAGGCTGCAGCAACATACCTCCAAAGCTGGGGTGAACGTGCTCGCGCAGTGGCTGTGGTTTGGCTGCATGGTGCTGAGATGCTACATTTCACCGTGAGAAATGCCAGGAACACGAGAACAATATTGGGATTGCAGTGCCTACCATCCACCAACATCTATGGCCCATTCATGTAGGTATACATTATATATATATATATACACCATGTATCGATGATATTATGGGTAGGGACAACGCTGATGGTTACATAACCTTCTCACAATACATCGGCCAATGGAAAACATGGAAAATCATAATGGTCATATCCAGTACTGGGGCAGGCACTGAGGCGGAATATAGAGAAACCACTGACTCACTGTGAATCACTTCGCCGGACAGTAGGATATCCGTGGATCTCCAAAAGATATGTCCCAAGGTCCCAAATAGGTACTATCGGTGCTATTTTTCGGTGAATCCAATCATACCCCATACTCAGCATTCACAATCATTCACAATCAGCCCACATCATCAAGCCACACTCCATTGTTTCCCATCTTTCCTTAATTAATTTAGTTGTCCCATGGTTTGCCCATAGTTTTCCTATGAATTTCCCCATGGGAAAACACCTCGGTGGCCCGCGGCCGAAACCCGAGGCCTTTCTGGCGCTCCAGAGACCAGATCTGACGCTACGCCTGGAGGAATTGCAGGATGCCTTTGGCCCCTCCCTGTGGCCGCAACTGGGAGCATTGGTGGTGTCGGCCTGGAGCTCAGATGGGTTTTCCTCCACGACTTCAATGGCGCATGTTCCATGTGAAATCGATGGAAGATATCATGATATATCACTTTTTCGGGCATAGACAAACCAAGTAGTAGTGATGATGACATTGAGTATATATGCTTCATGGTTTGATTTTACGGTGATACAACAAGCTCTAGTTGATGGACACTAAACTTCAGGGAATAATTATTGTAGTGGTATGCAAAATGACCTCAAAGAAGGGGATTTCCATGACTTCAAAAAATAGGAAGCTCTGAAGTCATTCCTTTTTATTGCTCATGTTGTTCATTTTTTGGAACATGTATAGTTTTTTTTTCTTTTTCGAGCCTGTGGAAACTTTGAGGAAATATACAGGATTATAATATATATATGTAATATCGTAACATATCTTAGTCAAATACGACGTTACTACTCACATAAATAATATATATTTGTATATGTGCTATTGTATATCATATATTTATTTATACGCCATATATACATACATACTTCCGATCTTCCAGATGTGTATACAGATTTCTTTAAAGAAAAGACATGTGTCGATTATGTATATATATATATATTATGTAATCAAAATTTATACACAGATACATATGTATGTTACACAAATCCCAACTTCCGCGCACAACCTGTACAAAACACTCTGGATCTGAGGGGTAAAAACATGCAATGAAACTATGTGTTCCAACCATTAACGTGCAATGTGCAGCGAATTTTAGCGATATGTAGCAATTTTGTTTTTTGTGGTCTTCGGTGTGTTTATTTATGTTTATTTGTTTGTCATCGGCATCGATTTTCCCATCCCTAATCCCATCCCTATAAACAGCTTACGTAACTTACGTGACTTAAAAACACTGGTTGGTGGTTTGTTTTTTTTTATTATTTTCCCACTAATATTGGGAATCATCGTCCCAACTGACTCATATTTTTCAGAGGGGTAGGGCTCAACCACCAACCAGATGATAATTTATCCCATCATATAACCCATATAGAACCACTATTATTGGTATTATAACATATTATAACCATTGACTAACTCATATTGTTCAGAGGGGTTGGTAGGTATACCACCAACCAGTTCCCATGGGTCTTCTGGCGATCCCATCCCCATGCATCGAAACCGAGGCCGAAACCGATGCGGGCGGCCACGCAGTGAACGAGAAACGCCGCGCCCTGCAGCGACGCCCCGTGCAGCTGCTGGTGGTGCCACTGGTGCAATCGAATCAAGGCGCGGCATCCCCAAGGAGTTAAGACATGGCTCGGGATTTGCATGGATTTTCTATGAAAAAAATATGATTTAACCAACATAAATTGGAGATTTAAGCTCATAGAACCAAGTAGGTCCCATGTTGGATGATTTATAGAACCAATTAACTAGTTCGATATATCGATCATAGTTGAGCTAGTTATAAACCAACTTAGCTAACTATGGGGCATCACTTCGCAAGGAAATGGCTAAACATTTACCATGAAAACATCAATTGAAAGTTGATGGGTATAACTTATATATAGCCAGCAGATTATCATCAGTTTGCCACAGTTTTCCTACATATTTTCTTGTTTGATGGGATGAGACTTCTTTAACCTCCCAAATGGCAACATTTCTTAATATCCATCTGTATATATATATATATATGTATAATATATATATATATATACATGTTCACCAATATCAAATGATAGTCCTGTATATTCGCTGAGTCGATGTTAACGTACCAGAGAAGACCAAGAATTGGTGAAGATTTGCCATGAAAGACATGACAAATGATGGGTAAACATGGTAAACACAACATTATCATCAGTTTTCCTACGCCTAGAATTGCATCTACCATGAGTTCCAGTCATTGGATTGGTTTAAGGGACAATTTACAAGAAACCCCTGTCCCTCAAATCAATCCATTGAATTGGGGGATTCTTGCATGCTACCCCAAACAATGGAAATCCCCAAATCCGGATTTTCTCATGATACTCAGGTAATCATTATATAACTGGTTTAACTTCCCAGTTTCAATGAAACCCCAAAGATCAAAGATCAATCAAAGATCTTCAAATCTGAATTTCCCTGACCTTAGAACCTTGATTTGTTGGCCATACTTGACATGGGTATGAGATGGTATGAGGAAATTTGACCCGACATCATTTAGGATTGGTTTTAACCCAGGGGGAGTTTTGGCAACTAATGATGCCATGTTTCGGGCTTCTCGAAGCAGTGCTTTTGACCCTGGCTAGTGGAGAACGACCATCAATATGTAACAACATGGACATGATCCAGATCATGTTTTCCTTCCTAACATCGGATGGTTGGTAGTGGAAGGATCACAGGTTTGTTATTACTACTGGTAGGTCTAAAATTGTGACGCGCATCGTATACAGATATGATATTTGAAGTTAGCCATCGTCAATACCCGGCAATACATGGAGTTTGTCACCACCTGACGAGTTGTTGGTGCTAAGCCGAAGGGCCTCACGGATGCTTCTTCATGTTCCAAGAATTCATGGTTATAATATACCATAATCTGGTGGTTTCCAATGGTAGTAGCCCTAAATCATCCATTTTAGCATCGGATACCCATTTTTCTATGGAAACCTCCAGCCATAAACTCCAAGGATGGCAGATTCCCCACAGATTCATGGAATCCATACATCCTCCCAATCTACTTGGGGTTGCATCCCAGTTGGCAAGTGTTAGATATAGACATACTTTTTGATATAGCTACATATTCATAGTATATATATAATATTATATAGCTGAATTTACATGCCATATACAACTACCCACCATGCACATCTGCATATATATATATATATAACCATATATCACTGAGTATATCTCATATAATAATATATAATATTGTATAATATATGTATACATATAATATATATAACTGGCTTATAATGTCTTGTTTTTTACCCACTTCCCTTTCCTTTTGATGCACTTTTGATACACAGCCGCTAGGTGAAAAGTTGAGTTCCAGTGCGCTGCGCTTGGAGGACGAGGTACACCTGGCCTTCTGGCGCTGCTGGAAACGCAGCGAGATCGACTTACGGACGGGAGGACTTGGCGCTGGGAGAACGCCCCAGACTTGGTGTCCGTACTTTCCCAACATTGCTGTGAGATGAAGGAAATACAGGGTATATAGATGTGTATATATATATATATATAATAATATATATATATAGTAGTATTGCATATACTTACTTGTAAATATCATTAAGTCCCATTAAAGATCATGGGCATTTGATGATCTCCCATTGGGAAAAGCCTGAAGACTTGACGTCCGTTCAGGAGCTCGTTGGTCCAAGCTGCTGCCGCCATTGGCGAAGATGGCTGCGGAGAGACTCAGTGAGAGGCCCTGTATGGGGTGGCACCGGTGTCACCCATTACCCTCTGGTAATGGCTGTTACGTCGCTATTGCAAATGATGAAAATGGCCCATTGAAATAGGTAGTTGATTTACCGAACTGAAAAATGGTGATGTGATGTTCCATAGTTATGTTAGTTTACCAGAGGGTAGAGGTATTTCTCGACAGAAACATGTGAAAATACGAACATACTAGAAAACTATGCAGAGAACTATATGAATAATCATAGTAATACCGCAACCAATTATAATTTTACATATCTACAGCATGCATTTGATTGTTTGCAAGCGGCGAACATTTACAATATCACTGGGGTATGTCCAATACTACGTACGTGAAACAGCAACCAAAAAAGTCGAGTAATGTTGGATCCATTAATATTCATCAACCGTGGCAACATGTACCCTCTGGTAATGACTAACATAGCGAACTGGAAAGATCCACCATTTTTAATGGGAAAATCCACTATTTCTATGGTCATTTTCAATAGCTATGTTAAATTACCAGAGGGTAATCCAATACAGGCACACTAAGAACCACGGATTTCGGGCAGGATTGGGCAACTTTCTGTGCGAAGGATGCTTTTTGATTCACGGTAAACTCTTCCAAGGCATTTTTCCAGACACTTGTCATGAACTTAATTTTGTGGTTGGGACCCATTATTGATGTATGTCAAAGTTGGTAAGGAACAAGTGAACAAGCCACAACATCATCGGTGTATGTTTGGCAGTCCGACTTGCAGGTGTGGTTCTCCAATCTGGTTACTTCATAATTTGTTGCTCATAGGTACACCCATAAAGCGATTGATAAATTGCACGGCACATCAATATATACCTTACCATTATCTATGATTTATCATCAGCAGTCAGGGTCTATCATCATACCTAATCATCCCGATATTACCCAACTATATTGAATGTATATAATAATCATATGTACATATCATGTACATACTCCTACAATATATATATATACATACATATATATATATATACATATACACATATATTTATATATATATACACATACATATATATATATACATATATACATATATATACACATACATATATATATATATATACACATACATATATATATATATACACATACATCTATATATACGCATACATATATATATATATACATATATATACACATATATATATATACATACATATATATATATACATATATACATATATGTGTATATATATACATATATATATATATATATACATATATATACATATATATATATATGTATACATACATAAATATATATACATGTATATCATATGTTGTTATAACATATATATATATCGTATTGTCCACAGTAGGATGACCCCGTCATTTTCGACCATCTTCGTCACTAGGCCAGAGGAATGCCAGCGGCAGTTGCATCGCTTGATAGCGCCTAGCACACCGGAGATAGCCCTGGCCAGGCGGCCGGTCGAAGGCTGTTTGAGGGTGCATTTCTTTTGGGGCCATAGACTATGACATAGACCCTGAGAATATCCTAGTTTTTGTTTCAATGATTTTTTAAGGTCTCAACTCCTGGCAAGGTCGTGATGTTAGTTGAATTCTTGCGATGCTCTTTCATGTGAGAGTTCGCCTGAGATTTCCCTCGATTCAATGCCGATACATGGAGGAGTGGTTGAGTGGTTAGTGACTGTCAATAGGGAAGACCCGAGGAATACCATCTGGTTATTTTACATAGCCATGGAAAATCACAATTTTTAATAGGTACACCATCGATAAATGGGCAATTTTCCATGGTACACCATCGAGACTTTCGTAAAAAAATACCTGATTTTCTGGCTTGCTGAAACAATTTACAGGAACCCATGGTTTGTTTGGTTTGTTGCCTTGTTGCTATCATCAACGATATCATATGATATCTAAATTCTGATGGATGTTGGAGAAAATAAGGATGAACAACAATAAGATAATAAGAAACCATTCAGGGGCTGCTGCGCACAAGATCCGCTCCGCAGGTGCTTGGAGTTTCTCTTCGTTGTGGCCGGTTCCGAGCTGCTGGATGTGATGGCCAAAGATTTTGCCTTCGATGCGGCCACGGAGCACCGTTCCGGGGGCCGAACAGAAGCCATGAGATTTTATATGAGGATTTGTCAGAATTCTTGATGTTAATTAATATATATATATATATGTATAAATAATATATATATATAAATTATATATGTATATATGTGTGTGTGTACATATTACCAATATTACATATACATGCGACATGATCAGCTGTACTCTTTGTACATGAGGTTCCATGGTTTGCACTTGAAAAGAGCCAGTTTTCAACAGTTTTCAACATGTACAGTTCAATAGCTGCCATCCAATGTTTGTCGCTATACTTTCATTAAGTGTATAATCATGCCCCATCCGTTTCTTGGGTAAAACCCCATGTGGGTTTGCCTGAAAATAGGTCCCCATTCCAATGGTTCTCCCCACGAAGATTGGAATTGTTGGGGAGATACCCTTGAAAATCCATACCCTCTGGTCAACTGACATAACTATGGAAATTCACAATTTCTCATGGGTAAATCAACTATAAAAGTCTATAAATGGGCGATGAATTCAATAGCTAGTTTGACATAACCAGAGGGATCCAGAGTATTTTAAGTATTTCAAGTCTATAAAAGTCTATAAATGGTTCATTGCTACACCCATCCAGGTCTTTAAGTATTTTAAGTCACCCATCCGACGTAACCACCAGGAGGATCGCCTTCGACGGGAGCTTTGTCAGTCGTCATCACGCCTGTGAGAAAAATGGGGAACCCCCTTTTGTCCATCCCATTGGGCGAGCCATCATTTTCAATGATTTTTTAATGGAAATTCAATGGATTGGTTCAAGGGAAAATATAGAGGAAAGCCCCATATTTAATGGGAAAATCTAACCCATATGGGATTTGTATATATTTTCAATGATGTTTTAACCCATAGGATCAATGGTGCTGGTATATATGCTAACATAAATGGGGTATATTGATGGGATCCATGTTACCATATACCATATATAGCAGCACCATGGATCCGTCATGGGTAATGGAAATCCATGAACATGCAATTGCATGTACCAAGCGCGAGACGTGCGGTCGTATCCGCAAAGTGGCAATGGTGTTGTGTTTTTTTCAATGATCTCTTTCTGTCCCGAAAAACTAACATGTAACAAACAAAATTAAAGAACATGGAAACCACACACATCCAAATTGATTTTGAGATGAGACAGCTGGAGCCTGTTCTTGATGACTCTCCCAATTTGGATATCGCTGTGAGACATGAAGAGGATTAAATAGACCAGATCTGGGTCATTTCTAGTATGAACGGCGTTCTATCGGTATCAACATGATGTTGAATGTTTGCCCCATAGTAAGATCCTGATATATCTTGATCTCATAGCAGGTTTGCCCTAGCCCCAACCAGGATAGATTTGAACACGAAAGTCTTCATGCCTGATATTCTGCCGAGTTGGGAGGCAAAAGTTGAGCGTCCTGAAGTTCTTGGGGACTGCCATCCCCATTGCCATGCAAGGCACATGGGAAGTGTTCCATCCATGTCCAGATGAAGTCTTGCAGCTGGGATGTATGAACCTTGAAACATGTTTTTTTTAACCAACAAAAATGAAACCAACAAAAACACCAGCCAATTCGAGTTGCTTCTTGATGGGTCTGAAGATAGTTACCAATAAAATCCAATAAATACGTTCTGCTTTAAGCATCTTGAACCAGCAAATGATCAGTTGAAACCAAGCATATCTTGATTTCGCAGATGTTTTTTGATCAAATGGCTGGTTTGACAGGATTTACTGTAGTTTATTTTTACCAAATTAGCAGATGTTTCACTATGGCTTTGGTTATATAAGATCTGTTTTTTTTGCTCGGATGGTCCTCAGCTTGGCGACAGATCCACAGCTTCCTGCGGAACGACTGCGTGATCTTTGCAGGCAGATGATGGAATGCTTTCGGCTAATTCGACATGGCCATAATAGCTGTAATATTATCTAAGATAATGAGATATTATTAGATTATAATATATTGTAGTTAAATAATGTTAAACATATGATCATTGTATGATGATATTATATATTATATACATTTATATACATTATATTATTGTTTTAGATATTTTTAAATACAATCTACATAATCTAGGAGTTGTCTCCCTACAATTCATCGGCCACCGCCAGGCTGGCGCTTCAGAAGAAACTGCCCAGGCCTGGTGTGGAGGCGCCTTATGGCCGTCATTCTGAGTTCCCCGGGTCGGTCACCGGGTCACCGGTTGTGAGTTTGTAATATATTCCTGTAGAATCCATGTAGAATCCATGTAATATATATATATACCAGTGAGATAACATCAACTCTGTAGAATCCATGTAGAATATACCCTCTGGTTATGACTAACATAGCGAACTGGAAAATCACCATTCTATTAATAGGTAAACCATCTAAAAATGGTGATTTTCCATGGCTATGTTAAATAACCAGATGGTATTTCTTGGGTTGGTTCAATTTGTCTGTGTGTTTCTGATGTTTTCTGCACTAGTCGTTGAACATCCAGGAGTGCAGGGATGAATCCTGTCGAAGAAATATTTGTACATTTTTCAAGAACCCTGGTACCCCGGTAAACGCGAAGATAAGCAAAAGTAGTAAATGGAATTAAATGGATATAAATGGATGTTCAGTCACTCAAATACAGTGTCATTGTTTTTTAGAAGAGACGTCACTGTTGAACAGTTGGGAGATGAGTTGACCGCCTCTTGTACCCCCAAGTGTTGCTGTTCATTCAGAGCCCTTCCATTTTGAGGCTCTCATCTCCCAAGACCTCTCGTCACCAGAGGAGGAGACGGATTCTGCCAACCAGCACTGCTGGCTTATGCATGTTGGATATTGTCTCAGAATGGTCGAACTCAGGAAAAATGAGATGAGATGAGATGAGATGAGATGAGATGAGATGAGTTCATCATTCATGCTTTTGTTCAACTATATATATAATATACTATATTAATATATACGACTATATTGTAGCCAATCATAGAATCATTTGCTCTATGTATAGCAACCACAAGGACCAATTCATTACCACTTTGTGGACATGCCTGTACAGTTTTCTTTCGTCAGGACTTGAAGTTGCTGCAGAATTTGGCTGGTCAAAATGACCCAGATGCTGTGGCCATTTGGGTTCGGGTGCCACAGAGGATCCTGGAATTTTGGCAACGTGGGATCTGCAGAATTTCTGCAGCCATTTCTTGGATCTGAATTGAATTCTACCCTGGACAGTCAAAATTCCCTGGTTCGATGAAGTTGAGAATTGACCGAGGTTCCTCGGCGTATTCACTGTGGGTTTCAGGAAGCATCCCTGGTCTGAGGTCTGCAATGGCAGAAGAATAGACCTTCAGGCTGACCTGTCTGACCTGCAGGGAATAGGAGTGCCAGAACAGCATCTTCGAAACTACCTATCAACATCCAAATCACATTTTCACATCTGGACACCCATTTGATCCTATTTTAGATTCCGGCTTGGAAGTACCAGTGAATATGATCTTATTCAATGTGATAAACCCAACAAACCATCCCCAAGTCCATGTTTATGGGTGCTATGTTAGCCATGGTAGTTGTTTATGGCCTTGGGTTTGCCACATATACAGTAAATCATCAATTTCTGTAATGTGGGTAAAACACAGAGCCATTTTTGCCACCCCATTGTTGCTGGTTTATACCACCTATAAAAATGGTGATGACTGGGGGATGGTTTCTACGAAGGCTGGTGGCCAAGCCATCTCAGCTCGTCACGTTGGGGAGACTCAGATGGTGATCCGTCATGGGCACGGTGGGTTGGATGCTTTAGCAACCCTGAAGAAAAGTAGAAAAGTATAAGAACCTGGAAAATCTGCGAAAATATCATCTATACATATCTATACATCTCTATACATATCTGTACATATCTATACCTAGAAACACATTTCTATCTTTTTTGGGGTTGGAATATGGGTATGGTACCTGAAAACTGTGGAGAGAAACCATGAAAAACCCTCATGTGTGGCAGTTATGTAGGGATGATGATACACCATTGGATTTATGCCATAAACGGGTACCCTATAGACAAACCTGTTTGCTTGGGGTAACGTGGATGGGCACATGCTTCCCATGTGTTCTTTTGAGCAGGATATTCAAGATTGGCCATGATTGGGCCATAATGTTAAGTCTTGGCACTATCATTTACTGCCCGCAATGATAATGGAAATGACAGCAGCTTCAATAGATATGTCTCCCAGGAGAAATACTTTGCTTGTGGTTGAATATGTGATTCCAGACACATGAATGGATGAAGTACCTGATGATGATGGTTACCCTCTGGTAAACTAACATAACTATGGAAAATCACCATTTTTGATGGGTAAATCCACTATAAATTGCCATTTTCAATAGCTATGTTAAATTACCAGAGGGTATGATGAAAGCTCTGTGGTCCAAGGTCCATGCTCTGGAACTGCTAGAGGCCGGTCGAAACCATGGTCTCTTGGGGGTGAATATTGGGCGGATGAGATTACCCTCTGGTAAACGTTTACATAACTATGGAAAGATCCACCAATTTTTAATGGGAAAATCCACTATTTCGACTGGGCCATTTTCAATAGCTATGTTAATTTACCAGAGGGTAGTGCTTGAAACTTGAAACCTGGTTGAAACGCATTGGAATACTCTTCAATTTACAATGCAGGAAGCCCATGAACAGGAGTTGTGACTGGCTGATGATTTCAAGGAGTTTTTAGTTGGCTTTGTACTTTGGTCCTTGAGACTTACGATGATCCAAATCGACTTGATAGTTTCAAATGTCTTATATTGTGCTATGCATTTCAGATAGGCTGAATCCACCAACCAGAACCAAAGTGAATTCATGGTGACAACTTGCGCATTTCCAGGGTCAGTATGATTTGCCAAAGTCTTCATCGGAAGAACCAGAGGCTGGATGCAGCCGGAGAAAACAGCTGAAAGCTTCCACTGTGGGCTCCATCCTCTCAGATGCAACATGATATGTAAACAGAAGTTGTTGATGGTTTCAAATCATTTCAAGTCATGTTTCTTTGTGAATGCCTGCCTACTACATGGAGTGATGTCCAATTAACAATATTTCTTCAGACAAACAATAACAAAGCTCCACAACGAGACATCCAGTTGATGAACAGGTTATCATGGACTTGTATTGGACCATGTTGTCATTGCCAAAGTTTCAGGCATGTTTGGAGATCTCATGGCTAAATGACACCGGCACCCCTGCCTCCTGATGATGATGATGAGGAGGAGGATGATATTTGGAGGTTTGGGTCAAACTTGAGCCTCCCTGGACCCTTTGAGAATAATTATATAATTATATAATATTCTATATAATTATGCAAGTTTGACACGAACAGCGTGACAGCCGTTTTCCATCCAGGAGTCTGAAGAAGAGGATTCCAAGGACTCACCGGAACTTCGGAACAACTCGTCCCAGCTTGGAAGTTTGAAATTCCAGGCGGAGCTCACAGAGCCAAATTTCTCAAACTACTACCGTCTTCTTAAAACATGTTTTTCGGCTATAGAGGAGGCAAGGTCCTTGTGGAAAAAAACATGTCCCAACTTACATCATTTTCCGAGGTTTTAGCGACTTCTTCACGTCGTGATTCACTTGCCACACGGCATGATGTTGGCAGCCAATGTTGATGTCTCACACATTGCTATGATTGTCCTTCAACTCCTCATGATTCACTTCAAAATTCAAGGTCCATGTCTCAAACGTGGCAATGGAGCATCCCCTATAAATGGAGGTTTATAGCTGGGAAAATCATCGAATTTCCAATTGGGTATGTCCAATTGCTATGTTTGATGACACCGCAGGGTATATATCATTTTATTGTTGATGATATCCCATTGAATATACCATTTATATTATATAATACATATATATATATATATCCCATTATTGATGGTCATAATCACCAAGAATGGGATATAACCATCAATAATAGGCTGGTTGGTGGTTTGGAACATTTGGATTATTTTTCCAATCATATTGGGAATGCCATCATCCCAACTGACGAACTCATATTTTTCAGAGGGGTAGGTATACCACCAACCAGTAGGAGATACCCTCTGGTATTTTAACAATATTTAACATAGCTATTGAGAATGGCCCAGTCGAAATAGTGGATTTACCCATTGAACATGGGTGGATCTTTCCATAGTTATTTTGGATTTTCCCATGAAAAATGGTGATTTTCCCATGACAAATGGTGATTTTCCCATGAAAAATGGTGATTTTCCCATGAAAAATGGTGATTTTCGTATGTTTACCAGGCCGGTTGTTCCCATCCCTCCCATCCCCACAGGAGGTCGAAGTCACGACCAAGGCGTGGGAGTAAACCATGGAGGTTTTTAATGGGACAAATTGTTGGAAAACCATAAGAAAACCATAGGACATATGGGAAATCCACGAAATAAATGGAGGTTGATAGCCGGGAAAATCAAGTATGAATGGTGGGTTTCCCAGCACGCATGTTTCATTACCAGAGGCTACATATTGATTTAATACTAATCCCATTCCGTTCCCTCGATAGTAAACACTAGAAACTCGTGCTAGCAGAAGCTGCCAGAAACAATGCTTTAATGAAATTAAGTGGTAAGATAATATAAGATAATATAATACATTACATAATCAGGGATAATATTTGTATATATATATATAATAATTTATATATATATATATACATGTACATAGTGTAATCCATTCATCAGGGGGATGGGATTGATGAGAGGCGCATCTATACACCTGCATGTGCTGCCCCCCAAGATGCAGGCAACAACTGAGTCTTTCCATTGTGTGTAAGAAAATGCAGTTTGAGTAAAGATATGGGGGGTTCTTAAACTGGGGGATCCTCAAAACCATAGGTTTCAATACTAAAATGGTCATCCATGATGACTGGATGATTTGGGGGTACCGCCATTGGAAACCTCTTCCCAGGCACTGTCACAGTGGTTGGCCGATGAAAGCGCCAGCCTACCAGCAGGGTCACTCAGAGTGGCCGGGAAGGCCGCATTTTGGGTGACTCTTAGTCTCTTAGTGATTGTCACCCTGTCCTATATTATATTTAATTTTAGGTTTAGGCAAAGAACTATGTGTTTCAACGTATTGGTTCAATTGCACTGGATCGTTTGGACTCAGTGTACTTCAATTCTGCATCTTCGATGTTCTTGCATCAAAGTTTGGTAGCTCATTTTCTACATCAACTCATCGAATTTCAGTATCTCCTGACTCACTAGCCCTTGCCGGCGTTCAGTTTTTGTCCGGCATAGCGGCATGCCAGTCACTAGCATTCACTAGCTATATAGAGTGTACGGCAAATAGTTCGAGCCTATGTGCTACAAGACCAGTGGAGTGTGCTGTACAGGTACCAGCCACACTATCCTACATGACATGTGAGTGACTTTTGGTGTAATTTTAACTTAGGTGAATACATATATGAGTAACCGACAAAATTATTGTAATACTAATTTAGTCTTTGCTTTGCCTTGGCCTTTCCAAGGTTGCTCAACACATTCATGTCCGATAGGGGACGACCCCATACCGATACCCCATTTGTGATACCTCCGGGAATACTGAAATCCTCAAAACCGATAGGGGACGATTAAATTTAACAATTTTGTCCGCTATTCACATATATATAATATATAATATATATAATATATATATAATATATATATATATTATATATATAAATTATATATATATATGTAATATTATATATATGTAATATATTATATATATCGGGGATGACTTGGGTTGTACTCATAGCTTGCTTCGTTGCAGTCAGGCGAGTGTTTATGGTTTGGTGGCTGCTATTCGTTCAGAGGCCTGGCACTGCTGAATCTTGCGCAGATCTTTTGCTGCTTTGTTTTGATGATATATTGCCTCTTTTGAGCTTTATTGAACATGCTGCTGCAAAGATGTGTGCGCGCAGTCATCGTTCACTTGGTGTAAGCGGCAGATCGAAGTTTGACAAGCTGAATACAAACTGAACAAAGTACGTTTCAATGCATCAGGTATAAACCGATCCACTTTATTCACGCATTATTCATTGTTTGCCAGCACTTCCAACTTCGTTGGCAACAAATGTATTGTTGTGCAGCATCCGTTCCAGGAAAGATCTACAAATAAACATACATACATACATACAGAATTATACACATACATACAAATATAATATATACATATACACATATACATACACACACATATGTATAGGTATACGTATACAGTACACATACACTGACATACACATACACAATCACATATGTTCACCGGGTATACCCAATGTTTGTACAAATCCAGATGGTGAAACTTGATAAATTTTATTTTGTGAGCCACTTTCCGGCAGGTCTTGTCTCATGCCAAGCATGATCGGCAGGGGCTCCCAGAGTCAGAAGAAGCTGCCTGACATGTTCACAGCTACACTCAAGATAGCATATGAGAAAATGATTGGGATGTGTCAAGTGCGACTGTATATAGATTTGAATTATCAGACCATCCCTTAACAAAAGACATAGTAGGTATCCAGAGGTGAATGGAGGGAGCCGTTCGGAGCTTGGCTATTTGCAGGTTCACACAACCTGCGAAGATCTTTGAACGGGCACCAGCTGCATTCAGGACCTGCATGATTTGACAAACCGGGTAAGGTGATGGTTCCTAAAACTTATAACAATAGTATGGGACCCTTATTCTGTGAAACTCCTATGACAAAAAAGTGCTAGAATCTAGAAGTGCAACATGTTACAAACTATTACCGAGTGCTTCAAGGGTTTATAGACATCATTCATCATTCCTGTCAACCACATACCTTAGGCTTTACCGGCTTGGACCACATACCTCTGTCTTCGAAACCAACGGGAACTGAACCAATTGATGGGTCAGCGCACATGATACCATATTTGGGGGAACAAAGATCCATGAACAACTCCGATTTTGATGCGAACTACAGGGTACTGGGTTTTCATCCATAGCCACAATGTGAAATTGCTCTCTCAAAGCCATCGGTACTTGAATTTCTCCTCAAAAATGGAGTACCAGTGCAGTAATCATTCCTATCATGGGTTAATTATGGTAATGGATATTTTCAATTTCTCCTGGGTACTATTTCCTGGGTCAGCCTTTGTTCGATACTTTACTTTAGTTTTCATTCTTGCTATCAACGGTAAAATGATGTAAAATGTACTAACCAGCTATTTTTGTTTAAGCAGGTATCTAAGATTAAGATTCACCATATATTTCCGACTACGATGACATTTTTCATTTTCTCATATACAGAACTTTGATGCTGGTTGGTGGTTTGGAACATTTTTGTTTTCTCCATATATTGGGAATAGTAACCCCAACTGACTAATATTTTTCAGAGGGGTTGAAACCACCAACCAGTTGATGCCTCCCATCATTTCGCTGGGCAGGGTGAAGATTCCTCCCGCGAAACCGGATGCGGCCTCTCCCATCACGTCAGGGAGTCCTAAGGTTGTGCTCGACTGGTCATTGATGGGTATGGGCCAAGATTTCCATGGCCATAATGGACCCTAAAATAGGGCTACTGTACCATATAAAGCCAAAGAAATTGGGGGTAGGATCCCCTTGGCCATCGCCATATTTAGGTTCCTGACATGGCCATTGAAGATTGATCAGAATGTAAGACGCATGGCACCACCAATTTTGGTTCATTATTCTTAGATATTCTTAGTATGTAAATCATCTCATTCAGGGGTCAAATTGACACAAAATCAATGTGGTGGAGAGCTCATGACCAGACTTTAACAAGCCTGTTTGCTTTGCTTAGCTTTTTCAGAGAGGTCTGGTGTATTTCGTGGCAAGCTTCGAAGCTTCGGTTGCATTTGATGTCCATGCCTGAGGGTCTATGGCATTTTGGATCCTCTTAGTGCCCCTTGCCTGCAACTAGTTCGCCCAGCTTGTTCCAGCCTTCATAATAGCATTAACAAGCATGAACTGGGTCATGGGCACCCAGCGCTTTTTCCTCGAAAGTCTACGCGTACACTTTGTGTCAGAGTCAGACTGTGCGGACATAGAATATTTGATAGTTCGCGACCTGCAGTGACTAGATGCTTACTTAAATTCAGTTAAGAGTTTGTGCCCTTTGCCATTTCAAGAGATATGTTTGTTTTTTTGTGGGTTACGGGAGAAAATTGATTGCTAAGACCACAGCGCAGTCTGCTTCTGCAGCACTGGCGCTTTTCGGCATGGCCTTCAATGCTGAGGCAAATGCATCACTTTTGGGATGGTGAAGCATCGATTGTCGCTATTGTCAGTAACAAAACATGTAATTACATGTAATTGCTGCAAACAGGAACCAAAAACATTAACAATAGAAACCATGGCGGGGACAAAACAACAGCCACTACTTGGGGGTTGAACTTGGAAAATCCAATGAAGCACCAAGATAGGAAACCGCTGAAAGGCTATAGCAAGATGCTCCTGTTGGAGCTAACTGACTAGGGTCTTCCGTAGGGCATCAGTTGGCTTTGTGAATAAAATGTCAGCCATGGTGGCAGGGAGAAGCTCTATGTATCTATATGTTATATTCTAATTAGTTTCTTATTTTTGCTGTTGGCATTGCCTGGGTGCACATCTTGATATACCACATAGATTCATGACGATTCTCCTAGTCGTGACTAGCCATGATCAAGCCATCAACCCTGGCGGAGATGTGAGACGCCATCGACCTTCCCGCGAGGTGAATTTGGTCTTGAACCCAACTTTGCAAGTGGAAGAATACCCTCTGAAGCGCTACTACCGCGAGGTGCCAAAAGGGCTCATCCAGAATGCAGTGTGCATTTTTCCATGTAGAGCGACTTCAGATGTCATACGTCCAGAATCTAATGTTCAACTACAATTATGAGTATGATGTTCACAAAGTGACAACACAAAAAAAAACAGGAGATCAATATATCTCTATATAATTATATATATACATATTATGTCATATATCAAAGCATACATGCGTGTGTAAGGTGTGTGTATATATATATATATACATCTAGATCTATAGCTCACTTCTGAATACAGTCCCCCCCAAACGTTTCTTTTTCATGCTAACTCATATCCTATGAATTCTTACAGCCGTATAAGTATGTACATAGATACTGTATAATGATGTATATATATATAATGTTGTTGTAGCAAGATGTAGAGTATATGAACCATAGAATAATTACTGTATATGATAAGTTAACATATGATATATCAGTATGAATTGGTAGATCACTGGGCGTTTGAAAAATAATGCCAATTTTTGAATAACCCCAAACAGGAGGGTCGTTCGAGGGTCAAGGTATATAGGTTATAGCAATATCTATATATATAGGCATATGTAGATATAGTAGATGAAACATAGATCAATTATATGAAAAAAACACATCTGGGATATCATTTTTAATTGAAAAGATAACTATAGATACCCTATGGGCAAACCAACATAGATGTGGAAAAACCAACATGTGTAGATAATGTTCCTAGGGAAACCATGAGTTATCCACATATTTTTGTAGGTTTACCCCAGGGTATCTATGTTTCAATCACCATCTTTGTTGGTATTTACCATTTTCTTTGGTTAAAATCCCATCCAAACACTATAGATATCTAGATTCCATTGACATCTGAGAACATATTTTTGTATCAAATTGATAACTATAGATATCCCATGATATCCCACATTACATATTGGGTGTATGATTGGTATCCTTTCCCTCTATCACTATAGGATCTTGGGTTTATCACTTCTGAATCCTTCCCCTTTGCCAACGAATCTCAAAGGGTCCTCCCAGGTAGTACGTTGGCCTGAGCGTTTGGCGGATGGCCGGCTGCTTTCAGATGTGGCGGAGGAGGCCAATGCGCAGGCGTGGGCCATCCAAAAACGTGGAAATCATGGGGATTTCATGGGATTCTCAGATGGCATTCATGGGAATTCTAAGATTACCTACAAAAAATGTGGAGCAGCGATTTTACGGGGACACAGGCAAAAATCTCAGGAGAAATGTGAGGGTTTCCTAAAATGGGGGATCCCCAATAGCTGGATGGTTTAGAATGGGAAATCCTATTGAAATGGATGATTTGGGGGTACCCCCATTTTAGGACACCTCCATTTATCAATGGAGTTTTGCCAAAGATCAATCCAGTTTTTGACCTATAGCCTGATTTGCTGAACATGATTTCGTTATTTTCCCATGGTCAATTTATAACCATTTGGGGACTCTAATGGGAATCTGCTTGATGATTTTCCATGACGCCTTTGGCAAATCCAAGAAAATGTGTGAAACCAAAAAGATCCAGGGAGAACATTGATGAACTTGGTGAGAATTATATTGCATGATATTAATGATTCATGATATTACCTGCATTTGGCAAAATATTTACTGTTGTGTTATTTTGTTTACTACCAAACGTGAGTTCGTTGTATTTGAGACATGAGGAACGGATACAAGACTAGTTGGATCACCATTTTGTTTCAGCCCCTCAATGATCATGATATTCGATGTTCAAAACATCTGGATTGAGCATGCCATAAAGTAAAGTTAAGGCGAATTTGTACCGAAATCGATGAACATTGATGGTCTATGGGTGTGTCTAAACATAGCATAGCTCGAAGTACCCTGGGTCCTCGATCATCATAGGTGGGACGTGGTATCGCAGAGTTCACCCTGGCCACCCAGTTTTGGAGCTCAGAGGAATCGACGATTTGAAGCAACTTCATGCATCCGAAAAAGTCATCTATAGTCCAACTTAATCAAACCAACATATACCTACAATAGGTACATTAGGTATATGACATATATTACCAATAGGTACTAATTTAACCAACATATACCAATACCTACATGTATATTAAAGCTAGAATTAAGATTAAATTTCATTCAATATTCCGTGAGACCTACATGTATGAATCATAAGATTGTAGGGATTTGTAGGGTCTAACAGGCCGCAATGTGAATATTCCGGGGCTCTGAATTTGTTGCTAAACAGGTAATCCCCTCACGATGGAATGTTTGATGATTTTACCATTAAAATGATGCATTGATGATTGTAGACTAAATTATCATTGAAACTCTGAAACCTTCATTCATTGATGATTTTCCCATATTTTCCCATTGAAGCCTCCATTTATAGATGATGTTCCCACAGCTGCATTCATATGAAATTTCCCACCCATTGTTTCGTAACACCGGAGGTGAAATTTCATGAAACTTAGGCAACTTGGGCCGACTTGGACTGAGGCATACCCTCACCGCAGCAGTGCATGCCTTGCCCACCTGGCTCGTCACCGCCCATGAGGCATCAGCAGCATCAACCACTTACCAACCAACTGGGGGTCATAGTATAGACATACAATAACATCATCGTCTAGAGATATCTAGAGGTTTTTCCCCAATAAAGCTCTCTTGGGGATGATGAATATGATCAATATTCGCTTAAAAAAAACAAAAAGGACCCAAAAATATGGGTTAGCTGGGCGACCTCTAAAGTCCCATAGTTTATCATGGTTTGTCACCCCTCGTCATCCCTCATCCATCTTCGCATAACATGTACGTTTTGAGGGTATAGCATGGTATAGCTATACCATGCTATACCCAATGTTTGGAAACAAAACGAATACATGTGATCATTATGATCATCACTGATCAGACAGCCCCAAAGAAGATGAGTTTGGACCTTCCCAAGTCATTTGTATTATCCCGTGTCGCATATTCAGTACTGTTTCCGATGGACAATTTCCTGATTCAACATGTTCTGAAGCCATTGGTGGTGTTTAATGTTCGCTTCTTCTTGTGATGACTCATCCAAATGAATAAACATTCTGGACAGAAACTCATGTATACTTTGCGACATTGAATTCGGACACTGAGCGGTGAATCCCGTCCATGAAATAAACCATCCAGCTATTGGGTTAGCCCACAAAAAGGACATCTCCATATTGGTCATCAGGCCGAGCATGACATGGACAACCTGCGCCCAGTGGATGTTCTGAGCAAAGGCACGGCGGCACGGCATGGAGTCCACAATGGAGTCCCTAAACCCAAAAGAGGCGAAGGCTTAAAGCGATTTCAGATTTGTTTCATGAAGTATATTAATTACAATATATATATATTTATGAATATATATGAATATATACTGTATGTGTATATATATATACTATGTTTGATCGTTTGATTCTTTTTGGGGACCAGGATTGAAGGTGATGTCTTTTAGCCACCTGGCGATCCCCCAGGTGGTCATTGCCAGACCACGCAAGAAGCTCAGAAAACATGCTTTGACTCAGGATATCATAGCCATGTGCGCTTGTGGACACATCTGTGATGTATTTGTATGATTGTATTTGTATATCATCATATATATATATATATTAGATTGTACTAATTTTATAATTCTATATAGGTACATATGAAATCATATTAAGTGATATCAAATGTGGTATATGTGGAGACCTTGAACAGTTGCAACCCATGAAGTCAGCTGAGGTATGCACTTCGACAGCTCTACGTGTTCCCGGCATGTCCGTGGAGCTTGTCAGCTGTGCTGAACCAAACAACACCATTGGAAAATATACTCTGTGATATTATACTGAATAATATATACATACATATGAGATAGATATCATATTGATAATACGTAGTATATATATATATGGCTGCGAGTCAAAATGTAAAGCCCCGATCCATACCCTAAACCCACAGGCGGATCCATACCCCCGATCCATATCAACACGCAGGTGATCCAGACCGATCCATATACGTCTGGATCACCGCGGGCCGATCCATACCCGAATTTTGACGCAACCCCATATATACCGTATATGTATATTGTATCTCAGAAACAATGGATCCCGATCATTCTGGTTGGTGGTTTGGAACATTTGGATATATTTGGATTATTTTTCCATATATATCCATATATATATATATCCATATATATATATATTGGGAATGTCATGGAATGTCATAATCCCAACTGACTAATATATTGGATCTGGGTTTCGTGGTGGCCAGGTGGAGGGGCAAGCCATGATCCTGGGTGAGGAAGGATGGCCCATCGCCACAGCCAAGGGGATGCAGGCGCGGCAAGGCAGCACTGTTAAACAAGTTACCCTCCAAATGTATGACTATAGTATACATATGTATAATATATATATATATATTATATTATATATATATATTTATTTATTTATTTATTTATTTATTTATTTATGAATCATGGTCGATTTCATAGTTTATCTATTAAACACTGTGATTTTGCAGAGCTATGTTGGTTTACTGGAGGATAGTACCTGGATCTAAATGGGGATATTTACGAACTGGGGAAGGCTGAGAGAAAGATCTGGAATGTATCCAAGTTGGAAGTTCGACATATTTTAATGATACTAACTTTGTAATCTGGAAGATTGCAAGTTGAAGAAGCAATCAGTTTCAATACATGTTCAGTGCAATATCATGCAACATGAACATGTATGGCACTTCCTGAAACTAAACCAAAACTATCCAAAACCGTTGTAGTTATAGATGTATAGCAACCAAAAAAAAGATAGACATATAGAATCCTACCACATTTGTGTGATGTCTGTCTTTTTGGGGCTTCCAAGTTATATGTTTCTTCAGAAGATGCCAGCTCTGCTGTCAGTTCGAGATCACCGGCAAGGGTGCCTTGGAGGCCAGAGTTGATTCCCCTTTCTCATGATGTTTGGCCTCTCTTTTTTGGTGTTGTTTGTTGTAATCCACACTTAGTTTGTTTTAATGGTGTTAGATTTTTTTTTTCGGGACAATTAAAATATGATTCCACTACATGGTGTTTGGTATCTTTTTTGGGAATTCAATCTAGACTTAATTGAGTAGATGCACGAGAAATGAAGAGAAGAGAAGACTAGAAAGGAAGAGAGTATCGGAAAGTGGAACAGAGTAGGGAAGAGCATAGAAGAGAAATGATGAGAAAAGTATAGCAGAGTAATTACAGAAACAAAACCACCAGTGAATAATAAGAACCAATATGACCAGAACTAGACTACTAATTACGGGGAAGAGACTGGGAAGAGACCCTAAGTGTATGCTAGAAGGGAACAGAAAAAATGAGTAAAGAATAGAGATGATAAGATTTGAGAAGACGAGAGAACAGAAAAGGAGAAGAATGATGGCCGGTGCGTAAGAAACAATATAAACGGATTTGTCTCAAGATTTGATTCTTATCAGTGGCTCTTAGACTACTACACGGCAGAAGCCGGACGGAGGCACAAAACGAAGAGAAGAGAGGAGTGGACAGGAAAACATCAAGAATCGTAGAGAAAGGAATAGAGTAGAGAAAAGTAAAGAGGAGAAGAATAGAGAAGAGAAGAGTCAAGAAGAGAAGCACAAAAACGAGTGCACAAGAAACAAGAATTCTTCATAAGGATTGAATCAGGATTTTGTTAATAATTATCTCTTGAACTTCCATTTTTGGGGACAAACCCAAATTATGGGTCAACAGTATCAACACGTATCAACACCCAACATGGATGGTGTGATTTAATACCCAGAATTACCAGTCATTTGTTGGTGCACCAGTACTCTAATATCTTGACCAATATTAACTGAATGATCAAAATATGTTGCTTGTTGCAGTCTTATGGCACGTTCTTTTCCGCAACGTAACGTTTTCCGGCGCACAGATGAGATTTCTATGGATTCTTTGATCCTACAGAGAGTCTGGTAAGCCAATACAACTTCCACTTTGATCACCCAATAGAAAGTCTCAATATGATCCCGCCCATATATTTTTTTTTGACTAAAATCTCACCCAAAAAACATCCCGCCAGGCTTCAGATGACACCATTGTCATGGGCAACCTGGGCTATTTCCAGGCTTTGCTCATGGCTATGCGGGGCTTACAGCCGGAAAAATCATCCTCAATGAAGATGTTTGAATGGGAAGATAATCCCCAAATGGAATTTGTTGGGCATTTTCAGTTCCTTGTTGTTCGCTTTTTTGCTGTCCTTGGGTGTGGAAGAAGCATCATGTGTCAACATAATGATATCTCTCATTCGGACATTCATCCCAATTGAGGTTGTCTTGCAATCAATTTCCTACATTACTACATCCTGTCCATGTTGTTGATACATCATATTGGGATTTTCTTGTTTGTTATTCTGTAAGTTCTGTCACTGACACATCAAAACATCATCAAGTAGGGATTTTATACTTGTCAGTAATAAGTACTGTAATTAGTCGACTGTCGACCACGTCTCAACTTTATTTGCGGTGTTCATACCTCTCAGCTTTCTATGCGCTTGGATCTGGTGCTGTGAGGCTCAGAGTGTAGCCTCATGCGCTCAACCATGCTCAACCCCATCTCAACAAATCAAAGACCACAGGTCTCTCACCCCAAACCTCTGCAAAAAATAGAGACTTTTCCCCAAACACTAATGCCACCATCTTCAAGTTCCCAAAGGCCCCTGGACCTTGACCCAAAAATCCTCCCGTTGCCCGCGTGCAGCGCCATGAGTGCCACTTGGACGCTGGTGTCCTTCATCACGGCCTTTCTAGCGGAACTCAGCGGTGCAGCCCTAGGCTTCGGGCCAGCCATTCTCTATGCAGCTTGGAACTTCTCGGCTGGGACATGAGATGGGTGAAGGATTGTAGGGGTAGGTAAATGATGGTAAATGTAGGTCATTTTGGGACTTCAATAGGGAAAACTGGGAGATCATGAGAGATCTATTTTGGACTTGGACTTGGTGGTGTTGAGAGGGTCGTCTCAGTGAACCCCAACATCCTATAGTTTGGAGATGTTTGGAGCATCATTTTCACCAGAGATTTTAAGCGGTCATGAATTTTGGTAACTCAGGGGGACACAGCCATATGGCAAAATTTCCCATCAATTTTCAGACAAAGGCATGACATTTTGTGAAGGAACAACCACCGGATCTGGGGGGACCTTAGCCACTGACAGATCTAGCTAGACATCGTGATGGGTTTTCCCTCTTGGAATATGTGGCAATTGTCGGAATGTGGCAGACTGAATTGCCGGACCATATTCTTTGATAAAATTTGAAGACAACAAAAACTCTTGGTCCAAACACTGCATCTGATGTAGCCAGTTTGGGTGAATGCCTGAATCCCGAATCAGGAAATTTCTTGGCAACTTTGCTGTGTCTTCGGGCTCACAAGCGGTACACTGGAAAAGGCAGTTGCTTGGCTCATGTGATCCTCTGTTGCAGCTAGAATCTCCACCTGCTAAGGCTGCTAAGGCTCTATTCTATTGGTTACAAACCTTTGACCATCTTCGGTTCAGCTCAGGTCTTCCATATCGTCTTGCAGGAGGCGGCCTGCAGCACATTTCAACTGCTGGTGCTGCGCCACTTCTGGCGACCACGGCTGGCGGCACAGCTAGCGTTGCCCTTTCTGTGGCCCGATGTGGGAGCAGATGGGGTGGTGGAGCTATTTTGGGGGGAGAGGCTTATGGACCTGTGGATGGTCATGGAGTATAATTAATGATATTGAAATACTGTTACTGTATTTTGATGACTGAAACGTTTGGGGAAACCCAAAAGGGATGAGAACAATCCCCTAAACAAATGAGAAAACATGGGAAGTTAGGGAACATAATGGTAAATAATGCAAAATTAGGATGTGCGTACGGCAACATTAGTTAGTACTGACTGAGGTGATAAGTGGTGGAGAGTGGGGGTTGAAAAGCGAAACCCAACAAACTAAGCAACGACAGTGGAGATTAAACATGATTTCAAAAAAAAAAACAAAGGAACATGTAAAGCAACAGAAAACTCATAATTTTGTACACATTCCTGTAACATTGGGATTTGACCTGGTGGTAAAATCCCATAAAAAAGTCGTAGGACAATGACGGCTTTTCTTGGGTCTTGTAGTTTGACCCAGTGGGACCCAGTGAAAAAATATGTATATAGAATGCCCACTTATAAATAATGCTTAAAAACATGGCAAAAATGATAGATTCACTGGATTGGATTAAGGGAAAATCTACAGAAAACCATGGTTTTTACCATCAAATATAGGGCTTTCCTGTAATTTTTCCCATAATCCAATTCTATGATAGATGTGAATGTGAATTGATGTAAAATCGTTTTTTCATATGATTGATATTGATTGATATTTGACAATCACATGTATCCACCTTCCACCTCCCAAGGGCAACCGTACCGCTTGGTACCGCGTTACTGGAACACTTCGGCCACTCCCTGCTGGCCAAACAGATCCTGGGTGGGGCCTTTCTGCTGCTGGCAGCATTCAACCTTTGGAGACAGCGCCTGGTCGCCGGAATTTTGCACAGTCATGGGGGATCCCCCATAGCTGGATGGTTTATGGTTGAAAAAGCAATATTAGAATGGATGATTTAGTTAGGGGTACCTCCATTTTAGGACACCTCCATATAATTAGCCTATAAACTAACGTAGATGTGGAAAAGCTATGGGTTTTCGTAGGAAAATCATCTACAATTGGTTGATTTGCCACTTCGTTAGTTTATCCTAGGGTACACTGGTCGGCCATGGCCATGTGAATTGAAACAGGTGATTTCGCATCAAAATTTGGCCCGATTTTCAGATCCCAAGATCACCAACATTGGATCAATTGGCTATCCGTTCTCAAAACGGGGTGAATATATATGGCTATGAATCAATACCTATTAATACAATTTTTTGTGGGATGAACATCCATTTACCAGCTATTTTGATGTTCACCAGGGGTACAGGGTTTTGACACACTGCCATATAGCACTTATAGTAGTCCGGTCCAGGAATCTTGGCGAAAAAAGGATGACCCCAGAAAAAATCGCCTGCGGGAGACACTTCCATTTTTTGCTTTGATCACAGCTCATTTGTTCGACTGCCATGTACTGCATACATATTTGCAATTATTTGCAATAATATTGACATATCCCTATGGATCCAAGTATCTTCTTAGGAAGTGCTTGGGGTATAATTTACTATAATGTGGAGGGTTAAGTACCTTGTCTCAGACAGTGTTTGGATCCATAGGGTATATACTTTCCATTAGTTTCCCATGATTGTTGGCCACAATGTGCGTATCAATGTAGGAATCAAGCAAATACTGACGGACTAACATGTGAGGAGGTTTGAATTCAGTCACTGACTCATACTGACTCATACTGACTCATACTGACTCCATTTGTTCATGGCTTTGAATGAAGTCCCGGATTTCCTCCGACCTGTTCCCTTTCTCGAGGCATGCTAGGCACATGCATAGTTTGGCACACAAGCAGAACATGGAGGAGACGGGTTTCACAGTTGAAGTGGGTTTGGGCCCGCTTTGATCAAGATTTAAGCGGCCATCACAACGTTGGTTGTTTTCAAACACTAATATCATTGATTCAATGTCATCTAACAAAGCTCGGGGACCTCAACGCTTGTGGTATCTTCGGTTCTTGGTGACACTGTTTTTGTGATATAAATATCTCGTTATGATGTATTAGTCCTTGCAAGATGTCGCTGGGTGTTTCGCCGATTGTTTTCTTTTTTTCGCTTTTCTTCCGATGGTCCCTTCCCATCGGCAGTTGGAGGGATGACCCTCACTTTTCACAAGCAATGGAGGTTGCAGCACTTGGATGATCGTCCCCCCTGGAAGCTGTTGAGTTTTTGCGTTCCCTGCATCGGATAACCAGCCAGGCTGCTGTTGGATCCCCACCTCGGATTTAAGGTGTGAAAATCTGTGATATTAGTGTGACCCTGGAAAAATCACACACAATTGTCCCATGATATCCCCATATGCTTGGTTAAACCATGTTACCCTCTGGTGAACATACAAAAAGCTATGGAAAATGGCTATTTATAGTGGATTTTCCCATCAAAAATGGTGATTTTCCATTGCTATGTTAGTTCACCAGAGGGTAAACCCAAACTTTTCCTCCCAGTTTTGTTGGTCTCCGCCAGAATTTCTCGACCGGTTGGTGCCCCCCGGTTTAAACTTGGTTTGTAACATTTTACAACCCCCATGAAAACATAGAGACATCTACCCTCATCTACCGATCTATAGAATATTGCAGATACATCTACCCTAAACCCAAAGGTTACTTAGATGGGCCATGGAGTTAGTTAACTAGTTAGTAAATGGATTATAATTAGTTAACTAGTTAGTTATATCCCCAGTTACTACCCAGGAATCGTTAATCCCATGGCCCATCTTTAAGTATCCCTATGGATCCAAACACTGTCTGAGAAGGTACTTAACCCTCCACATTATAGTAAATTATACCCCAAACACTTGCTAAGAAGATACTTGGATCCATAGGGTATAGGAGTTTCTTGACCAACTGAACGCGTGGCTAACGAGCTGGACCACAGGAGTGTCACTGGTTTGTGATGATCGGCCTGGCCCTGACGGCTGCCAGTGCGGGTCTACTCCGTGGCGCCTTAGGGGTGGCAGGACGGGGTATTCCATAGTCAAGTGGACTTAGTCAGATGCTTTGCTATTCATATGTAGTAACAAAAACAAAAATAATGATACCAATAATAATAATAGTAATAATAATAATAGTACTAATAATAATAGTAACAATAATAATGATAATAATAGTAATAATAATGATATTTTTTAGCATATGGCACAATGTAGCACAAGCTGCGGCCAAGCATAGGATTCCGTGAGACGTGGTTACTTAGCGAAGTCCGGACTTGCGCATTAATAATGATATTGTTTTCTATATATACATACTATACATATTATTATATTATATTATATTATATTATATTATATTAATATTATTTTATATAAATATGATATGATATTATATTAATATTACATTATATTTAATTATATTACACTATATTTACTTATACTATATTATATTATATTATATTATATTATATGCATATATTTGTTGATATTGTTCCAATGTATCCATTATTCTATGTCGAAACAACCCACCACTTGGGTGCAGTTCCACTTATATGTCGATAGCCAGCCACTTGAGCCCCATATCGCTACTTGTGAAGGTAAAAATCCCATGGTTTATACCGGTAATTTATAACCATCAAAGTCTGCACTCCAAGCAGGACCCCTATTTTTTTTGTGGAATTATTCCCTGAAAAATAGCCTACATAGCCCTAAACAGGCCTGAAAAATGGTATACGTACCTCCAATAAATCGATTCCTGAAATGGTCACTGACTACTGTATTTTAGTACCTTCTATTTACATCCCATATATTCCCATATGATGTTGATAAAATCTTCCCTAATGATATTTCCGTGAAAACAATCGCTGGGGATTATCCCCATAGCCATCAGCCATCATCATCCCAGCAGGACCCCCTTTCATGGTCCTGCTGCTCTTCTTCAGCGTGGACCGAGAAGTGTGGCGTTCTGTGGCCAACTTTATCCGTTTCACGGGGATGCTGGTGCAGGGACTGATGCTAGGCGGGAGGGTGACATGGCACAGGGTTGTCCGAATTGTCCGTGAAAAATGTGGGGGAGGGGAGGGTTAGATGAATTATTCAAATTATGGATTTTTGTTGGATGATATTTATGGATGTTTATCGAGTTTTATGGATATTGATGGCCTTGAAACCATGGGGAACATGATGGCAATGATACACCATGATGCACCATTGGATTATTTTGCCGGCTGACAAACCCGCATTCCACCCTGTGGTTCAAGGCAAAAGCAAAGGTTGATGCCAAAGATACAATTGATCTACAGTAAACCCAACTGTGGTGAAAGCCTCACTTCGCTTGATTTTTGGGTCGTTAGCTTCCGGAAATCAAACATCCCAATGGAAAATCCACCATTTATATATTTCGATGATTTTCCCATTCACATTGCCCATCAACTTCGGGGATTTCGCAAAAAATCATGGTTGGTTGTTGGGTTATGTCAGTTATGTCCCACAGAAATTGTTGACGACCCTTCTGGATCATCCCAGGATGACCCAACCACCAAGCTCTGACCGATCCTGAGAGGCTTTGACCATCAGGTCGATTTGTCAGATTGGCCAACCTATTTGGCTCTGATTTTCGGTGGCCTGCTGGGCTTGTTGGTCGGGAAACCCAGGCATGACTTGGACTTGGGCAGAGTGACCTTGGACCTTGCTTGAGGAAGGGGATTTTCCATGTTGTTGCATGCCTAGTCACATTATAGAATGATATATGATGTATATGATATGTCATATATAATATAATATAATATTATATAATATAATATAATATAACATAATATAATATATATATATACAATACATACATATGATATATAAATATACATATACAGCTAAAGATTGTTTTCTGGTCAGAATATCCAAGATTTGCCTCTTTTTTTTTGGAAAACCAATTTTATCCAAGTATGCCCAGCACTTCTCTAGGCTGGAAATCAGCTGGCGGAAAAGGTGGATGGTACTGCCTTCCATCGATGGCTCTTATTATTTCTGGCGGCTGGGGGATTGCTGATGCTGAGCTCTGGGACGCCTGGCGATGGAGCTAGGTGGAGTGATTCTGCTTAAGTAGTAAGATAACAGCGCGACTCCAAAAACACCGCTTAAAATGCTTGAACCAGCATGTGACACATCCACGGTTTACATTACATTATGAAATTGAGTAGATAAAACATGTGTGTGGAAGGGCCACAGCAACCCAAGCAAAACAACTCCAGTTGATGGCTGTTCCAGCTTTTTGTAGGGAACCATCTACTGCTCTCATCCTACACAAGAGAATTCATAAAATATTCAAGTCAATACCCATAGGATCCATGTATGGTATATATGCTAACATTGGGGGTATATTGATGGTAAACGTTACCATATATATAGCATACATGGATCCTATGGGATATTCATTCTCCTGTTTCAAACTGTTTGACATCGTCGTGTGTCGAATATTGTTTGTTACGTCAACAAAAAACGGCGCCGGGCCAGCGGATGATCGGCCTGAGGAATCCAGTTCTCAGCGGGTGCTTTGCAGCCCTGGTGGCGGTAAGTGCCTTATTGGTCCTCGTCTCAGTGACGAGAGGAGCGAGACATTCGTGGAGCTGCCAGTGGAATGCCATGGAATGCCAGTGGAGATTTTTCTAGGACACATGCAATAGAATGGGCTAACGCCCTGGTGCCGCCGACCCCCTTTCAAGGGTGCGGATATATACATATTATAATATATAAATATATACATATGATGTTATAATATGCTTATATGGTTTCCGGCTGAGATTTTCACACCTAAACCAATCGATGGAATCATGTAGCACAAAGCTCCGCAGAATTTGGGGCCACAGCCGGGCGTTGAGCCATGTCGCAGGCTTGAACGCGCTTAACAACAGAGGGCAGTGGCCTGAGTGCCTGCTCGAAGCTGCCGCGCAGCGTTTGAGGCATTTGAGGCCTGGCAAACGGCATGCTTGAACGCCCTTAACAACACAGGGCAGTGGCCGGAGTGCCTGCTCGAAGCTGCCGCGCAGCGTTTTAGGCATTTGCGGCCTGGCAAACGGCAGGCTTGAACGCCCTTAACAACAGAGGGCAGTGGCCTGAGTGCCTGCTCGAAGCTGCCGCGCAACGTTTTAGGCATTAACAACAGAGGGCAGTGGCCTGAGTGCCTGCTGCCGCGCAGCGTTTGAGGCATTTGAGGCCTGGCAAACGGCAGGCTTGAACGTCCTTAACAACACAGGGCAGTGGCCTGAGTGCCTGCTCGAAGCTGCCACGCAGCGTTTTAGGCATTTGAGGCCTGGCAAACGGCAGGCTTGAACGCCCTTAACAACAGAGGGCAGTGGCCTGAGTGCCTGCTCGAAGCTGCCGCGCGCGTTTGAGGCATTTGAGGCCTGGCAAACGGCAGGCTTGAACGCCCTTAACAACAGAGGGCAGTGGCCTCAGTGCCTGCTCGAAGCTGCCACGCAGCGTTTTAGGCATTTGAGGCCTGGCAAACGGCAGGCTTGAACGCCCTTAACAACAGAGGGCAGTGGCCTGAGTGCCTGCTCGATGCAGCCGCGCAGCGTTTTAGGCATTTGAGGCCTGGCAAACGGCAGGCTTGAACGCCCTTAGCAACAGACGGCAATGGCGGGAGTGCCTGCTCGAAGCTGCCGCGCAGCGTTTTAGGTGGCAAACGGCAGGCTTGAACGTCCTTAACAACAGAGGGCAGTGGCCTGAGTGCCTGCTCGAAGCAGGCTTGAACGCCCTTAACAACAGAGGGCAGTGGCCTGAGTGCCTGGCGGAAGGCAAGGTAGTGGCAAGCCAACAAAAACAGGCTCCACACCTGTGGTGGTCCCAGGCGCCGCCCCTGCCTTGGCGAAGGCCGGGGTCGGCGGATTTCTTGTAGGGATTCATAGGGTATGGATGGGTATGGTTTGTCTTTATAAAGCCTCATTTTGGTATATTTTGGTGACCTTCAAATATATGGGTTTGTGGCTGGGTGATTTTCAAAGACGTTTCACCACCCCTCAAGTCCTAACGATGATGTTCCAGAGTCCGCAATTGTAAATATGGTGTTCATTCATGTTCCATCTTTGTTTTCAGCGTGATAAAAGAGGCCTCTTTCTTGCCTTGTGGAGTTTGAACGTCACACAAACTGGTCTTTACCCCTCTGGTAATTTAACGTAGCTATGGAAAATTGCCACTTTTATGGTAATACATATTGCATACTTTACTGTAAATCATCTATAAATTGGCCAAGCCACTTTCCATAGCTTTGTTAAATTACCAGAGGCTCCTTGGTCGTTAAGGTCTAAAAGTTGTGTGTTTGTTTTTGTAGGGACTGTGACTGGTGAGCACCTCAAATGCCACCAGAAATCATTGAATATTACTGTAGAGCTTGCAACTCATGGTTTTGGGGTTCACCCCATTTTACGAAACCTCTAAATGTACTGTATAAGACATAATTGCTGACTTGCAGGGAACAACGCTGCAATGATATTTAATATATATAATGTGGCCTGATAATGCCTGATGTACCTTTCGGTACCTTTGAAGTTTCTGCATACAAGTAGCCTTGTAGTCAGAGTCATACTCACCATATTGGCTTCTTGATGGTCACCTGTGTGAACTCACCATGTGTTGCTAAAAAATACCATCATTCGTGTCGAAGCTGAGCTGCTGAGTTCACAGATTCACATGTTTGTTGTTGCGTCGTTGCGATCGAAGCTGTTTAGTACACTTAAGTTTCCTGGTCAAACGTGCATGTTCAGTTGGTAAACAAACACGGGGTTACTGCATGAAACCACACTTGCGGAAGATCGTGGGGCACAGCCCATGCCCATGTCAGGAGCATCGAGTGAGTCAAGACTCATGTGCAATGCCAATGTGGAGAAAGTGGAGCTGCAAGATAAAGGCAACTCACCACGCTGTGAAGCGGTGAGTGAAACGGATGTTCACAATTTCATACCAGAAGGCTATGTAGAAGACTAATTATTTGGAGCTTGCTTTTTGTATTCTCAGTTGTCAATGCATCTCCAAACTTATATTACCATTAGATTTCATTATATTATATTATATTATATTACAGTATTACATGATATTACATGTTCTGTTGGTTCTATCCACATATCCCAATGGTTGGTTTTTAGTTTTTCCCCATTGAAGTTGGTTACATCTCCATAAACCCCAGTTGAATGGTTGGCATCGGGTGGCATCGGGACCTTTTTTGAGATGGAAAATCCCACCATTTTTGTCGATGCCCATCTACAATCATTTGCAATATGTTAACGTATTAATGGGGGCAAAACAATGCCATAAACCACCCATTTGGGAATGCTATGGAATACAATCAACACCACATTTAATCCTATAAAAATGGTAATTTGGGGGCATGGTGTATGATTGTTTTAACATGTTTTACCCATATTAGTGTGTGCTCCACTGCCATGACCGGAGGATTCATGGGGGGCCGGAAACCCCAACGGCCCAACGGCCCGACGGGAAAAGGGGCCCCGTGAGGTGAGAAGATGTCCCAACCCCTCTGCAAGGGCTTAGAGGCGCTGGAAGCGGCAATATTTCATGATGTAGTACATCTTTTTTGTAATATAGTACCTATTATACGTAACATCTATCATATGATATAATGTACTGTGTAATATCATGTGCATATATATATATACCAGCACCGCCAAAGGGGCCCCACTGTGTTTTTGGAAGTTGATATCTTTAAGGGGTCCCACTACGGGAACCCTTATTCCCAAGGTCATACCAACTGTTAAAAACATATGTGCTGGATATAGTAAGATATATTTGTAGGTATTCTTTGGTAATCTTATCAAATAACCCCATTCCATCAATCACCAGTTCACACCTGGCTGCGCTGCGGCGGCATCGGCTGGACCAGCTCAACATTTTGGAAAGAGGCTCAGAAGGTGCCAACGGGAGTCGTTGGAAATGCAGTCGCCGAAAACTCACAGTACACAAAATGACAGCATAAAAAAATACATAGTGACATCTTTGACATTTAGAGTATATACTCTAGCTTATTCTGTGAGTCTTCGAAGCCATCGCACGCATGTATATGCAGCGTAGCGTGACAGAACTTGTCGTCCCATCTGGTTGGGATATGAAATCATCGCTAATTTCTTCAGTTTTCCCATCGCGTCCTCATCTGTATAGCAGCTTAGTTTCAGTGGAGAAACTTCTGGAGCACAGTCGTAGACGATATGGTCTAACCTCACATGGTGCTGTTTCCTTTCTGTTTTGCTCGATATCTTCAAGTGCTTGTTATCTTTTCTTTTCAAACTTTTTGAAAGCCTCTGTCGGAACAGTTTGAGCTTTGAGTGCCATCATCTTCTCAGCGCTCACCTGCCCAGGTAAAGTAGCCGACATAGCCCCCCAGCCAAGTATTACATCAGTGTTCGTTGTGATATAAATAGTGGAGCATGTGCATATGCTCACATGAAAATGAAACATCAGGGATAGTCAGCCATATATATATAATATAATATATAAACAAATACTACTTACAGAGTTTTCCCTACTCAATAGGGTTAGCCAGCCTCAAACTCTTTTCCATCCGGCATGGCTGGAACTAGATCGACTAGGTTGTTCCCGAAAAAACCCGCTGGAGCCACAGAATAGATCGATCGTTTTTTTTGACCAAACCACCAAAAATGAGATTTCACGACACGAAATGACACGCCCCCTGAACTTGGTGGGCACCCCCGACACTTTTTAAGGGGTCCCACTACGGCACCCCTTAGCCTAAGGGGTCCCACTGTGGGACCCCCAAGGAACCACCCGAGACACGCCACTGACACGTTTGACACGCGCCTTTTTTGGGATTTGGATAGATTTGGAATTTTCTCAGATTTCTAGCCTAAAACATTTACCAGATTACGTTTGGGATTTTACCGTAACTTGCCCAACGAGCTTGCAGGCCCATGGTTTGAAATGGAGATGAACCCTTTTTGCTCGGTAAAAATATCATTTTCCAAAAGATTATGCCCAGCTGTTGTCATTCCCCAAAATGCATTGTCCCATACCATAACCTTATTGTTGGCAGACTTTCCAAAACCTTATTGTTGGCAGGGGATGATGTTGGAACATGTGCTCACCAGGAAATAAAAGTAAACAATTTCGTATCAACTCAGTTGAAGACGAAGCCCTTTCTTGTTGACAACAATGTGTAAGGCTTGTCTCATAGAGTTCTCACGTAGAACTTTCTTGAGGGAGCTGTCATGGAATGCTGCTCGCAGCCACTGATTGGCACTAACGCGGATGTCTCCGCCAGGCCAAAACTCACCAGATCGTCGGATCCATTCAATACATTTATCATCGATACGGGCCATCAACGCTTTTGCCATGATCCTTATTCACAGTCATGGTTTTTAAAAATGAATGTTGATGTTTTTTTTCCCGATGAAACCCTCCAAATATGTTGTTGGACAAGGCTCTTCGCCTCATCATTGAAATCCTTGCTGCCACTCTTGCGCTTCGGCATGGCAGATGTCCAACGACGGAATTTCCTTCTAATGATACTTAACATTGTGTTGGGGTACCTTGCACCTCTAGTAACTCTATTACCTATCTGTTTTAACTTGGGCCATTCAGTGCCAACCATTCCATAGCTTTGAAGGTGTTGTACCTGATGCCCATGCCTTTGGTCGATCATTCCTACATGAGCCGGTGGCCAGGCTGCAGTGTGGCCATTGCGGGTGAACCTGGGCCCTCAGCGATCAAAAATTGAGATGCATGGTCAAGAACCCTCCAAACTACCTCTAAACCACCTAAAAAAATAAGGGGTCCCACTGTGTTTTTTGGCTAAGGGGTCCCACTACGGCACCCGCTTGGTACCCCTGGTATATATATATATATTGTATAATAATGTGTTATATATGTATATATTGTATATATTGTATATATGATATAATATGAGATGATATGATATGATATGACATGATATGACATGATATGATATGATATGATATGATATAGTATATATATATGTGTATATGATATGATATTTATATGATATGATATGTGTATACATGATACATGTATATGATGTATATATATACATTATATATGTATATGATGCATATATATATATACATACATGCACTGTATGTTATAAGTACATGTATATGTTGACATGTATAATGTTGCCATGAGTTCTTGCTTGAATGGGTTTCATCCCCATTTGTCCATCCCACAGTTGGATAGAGCGGAATGATTGGCTTGGAGGACTTTGAGATAGTGCCATTCATAGAAACTGGAATCAATACAAGCAGAATCAAACAGATATGAATTGAACATCGCTGGAAAATAATGTGCAGTGCAGCCAGGTCAAAGCAATGATTTGTTCCTGCGTTTGAAGTGCCATTTGGTTTCGTTCAATCATGTTTCGTTTCAATCCATTTGTCAAGCGGAGTGAAGCTACATATTCTTCATAGTGCACAAAACCATGAGTGTAAAAAAAAACACGTGTTTTTTTCCACCAACTACTGCAGAAATGATAGGAATCCTTGCTCTGACTCTGGACAAATCCTAGATTCAATGCCATCGTGGCAGGTCGCATCCCAGCTGAGTTCGAAAAGTATCTCAAACGTTTAATGCTCGCGAGATGCGCCAGGCGCCTGGCTCCCAGATGTCATTCCGATTGAAATGAATCCCGGCCCCTCGGGGAATCTCACCCCCTCAATAAAGACCTGGAGTATCGTATGGACGTAGTTTTTAGGGGGTACGTTTTATTTTATAGGGGGAACCCATAGGATCCATGTATGCTATATATGGTAACATTTACCATCAATATACCCTAAATGTTAGCATATATACCATACATGGATCCTATGGGGAAGGGATTCCATGTTGGAAGTGAAGTGAATTTGACTCAGAATGCGACCCTAAAAAAAAAGAACCGAGGGCTGGCTGGTCAGTAGCCAGATACGGCCATCCTTTGTTGAAAACGGGAACTTGTAAAGGTTGGGCCACGGGGAGAGAGTCGTTGTGCCAGCTTTTAGTCCACCGCATTGTGGCGAAGCGGAGATATAGTATATAATAGTATATATATATATATATACTTATTGTTATTTTCCCAGAGCGCGGGGAATTCCTTGGAAATTTTGGACATATATCAGACTTGGGACATTTTGAGGCCTTTCGATCTACGCTCTTCCCTCACTGAGAAGGCACACCATGTCTGACTTGATGGCCCCCCTCAACATCTGAAGGCCCACCTATACAATGTTGTTGTGGGATGTTCCCGTATGGTGTTTTGGCATTGAGAAATAGCTGTGTTCTTGGGTCCATAGTAGACCTGCCTGTGTGGCACTTTGTTTTTTCAGCGTGCTTAAACGCATGCTGTTCGCATTTGTTTGCTTCATGTCACTGTGCCTTGCAAGTTTTGTTGTTGATTGGATCATTTCGAAGTCAATGAAAGTCCATACATTTTGATCAATCATCACTTGGTTGATTCTGATACAATTGTTCCATTTGTAAGACCAGTTGGCATCTGACCGCGTCGCTGGTTTTCCTCAATATCTTTAACAGCGTCGCTGTTGGACATTTTCTGCTTGCTGAGCATCTGACCGCGTCGCAGCTTTAATCGATATGTAGCCTTAATAAAACATGGCAAGAGATGATTCATCTACCAATGGGAAAGTTTCACTAGCCCACGACAGACAATACATGGCCGTTACATGGCTACCTGGTTGGTGGTATTAAGTTGGTTTTCATGTCCATTCCTTTTCCTAACCGGCCCCAATTGATTTGTTTGGTGTTCAGGGCTGAACAAACAGCCGGTATGAAACAGTGCCGATGGCATTCCCAGCCACCAGCTGGGATGACCATCTCCAGCATGGCTAGAGCTGCGACGTTTGAAGCTTCTGATCTTCTGGAAATGAGATGTCGGGGCATGAGATGCATGCTATTTCAGAAGATGTTTGCTAGTAGCCTATGCAACTTTTTCGATGCGGTCAAGCCATGGTATCCCCAGGGAGCGAATGGACATGATCTATAAATGGTCCATGTTGACCATCTCCATGTTGATTTACCCTCCAGGGTAGGTAGTCGTGATCAACATATGAGTATGGATTAGTCGAAGTCGTTGGGGAGGCTATGGAATTTCGACGTTCAAACTTTACGCATTAATTTAGATATGAATGGTATTGCATGCGGTCAAGTCATTCAAGCAGAAGCTTCAATTCATATGCCACTATGATGTGTGTGCCTTGAAGTGGGTAGCCAAATTGATACCCTTCTTCATGCTCAAAGGTTGAACCTAGGGGAGCAGATTGCATGAGTTGAAGTGGGTCTCTGAAAATGATTTACCACCCAGTTATAGCAATTTTGATGGGGGGACATGATTAATCTGTGGATGGAATCCTGTTTTCAGGCAAACCCAAGTGAGCTCATAATGTTTCCCTGTTTGAGCATAGCATGATACCACCATGGTTTTGTGATTCAGACATCAAGCTTTTGCGAGGAAAGAGACATCGATAGCCGATAGCCATTATGTTTGCTGGACATATTACCAATCAAGACTAGACTACCTTGGATGGTCAAGTTACTGTGCAGTCATGTGTTGCTACGAATTCTTGGTAGGGGTCAAACAAATCCTTTTGCCACGAAACGTCCATGATTCTCTGATCTTCCTAACCCCTTGATTTGGTTTTGTGTATGGGTGCATACCAAAAAAATGGATGATACATGCGATACTATAAAAATCCGCGTGGTTTATCATCAGGTTCCTCATGAAAAAGGAACATTGATAATTGGGTGTATTCACCTGTTTCTTCACATTCTTAACCCATACCAGTACTTCAGCAATCAACCTGGCACCCCTTGGAACCATCATTTCTGCACTGGTTGATACAGAAAGGTATTACGTAGGCATGATGAATTCCCTTCAAACTTCAGACTAATATCACCAATATCATCACAAACTGATACTGACTGTATAATAATTATAGCGACATGTCACCTTCTAGTCGCACGGTGCAGTCCAACGTTGACAATCGAGGGTCTGTCGCCTCAGCTGGGCATCACCGGTTCTGATGTTTTTGAGTGGAGGTATTATCGATATAGCCTTATCATCCCTTATCTCTCAGCGCTATATTCATATATATATATAATTATATATATATTCTATGTTGGAACAAGTGGAATCAGGCTTCAGGAACTTCAGCTTGCGGGGTTTGCCATGTCAAGTTGCATATCCTGCAAATGCTCCCATGCTTCATGCATGTTTCTGGGAAGGCAATAGTGTCCTTCCCTGTCACCGTTTTGACAGATCCTGAAATTTGTAAAGATCGTCAACCCCGGAGACCTCTCCCGCCACCATTGTCAAAAGGATTTCGCTGAGTAGGGGCCGGTGTGTTCCGAAGTGTCCAGGATCACTCGAATTTTGATATTCTTAAGATCAGCATACCCATATGCTCCATGTATGGAATATTTACCAACATTTACCCTAAAAATCACCCAAATGTAGGTAAATATACCATACATGGAGCATATGGGATACACACATGAACAACAGATACACACATGCTAAGCAACTTCCACCTGTTCAGAATTCGTTGGTTCTTTTGTCATCGGCAAGATGTCCCACTTCGACTGGCATCCAATGGTATCCACCATTTGGGTTCGTCCAATGGGGGGTTATACAGTGGATATATATATATATGTACGATGGACCTTTATGTACTATTTGAACGTTTGCATGTCGAAAGGATTTTATTGAAATTATACCTCTTTCTGGAGAATCCCTACTAGTTAATCTATATACCAAAAAGAAAGAAATGGAATTCAAAAAATTCAAAAAAAAAATGAATACATATTTTTTTTGAATTTTTTGAATTCCATTTCTTTCTTTTTGGGACTTTCATTTTTTTTTGAATTTTTTGAACTTTTTGAATTTTTTGAATTCAAAAAATTCAAAAAATTCAAAAAAAAAGTGAATACATATTTTTTTTGAATTTTTTGAATTCAAAAAATTCAAAAAAAATGAATACATATTTTTTTTGATTTTTTTGAATTCAAAAAATTCAAAAAATTCAAAAAAAAAGTGAATACATAATTTTTTTTGAATTTTTTGAATTCAAAAAATTCAAAAAATTCAAAAAAACATGAAAGTCCCAAAAAGAAAGAAATGGAATTCAAAAAAATTCAAAAAATTCAAAAAATTCAAAAAAAATTATGTATTCATTTTTTTGGAATTTTTTGAATTTTTTGAATTATTCAAAAAAAATTATGTATTCACTTTTTTTTGAATTTTTTGAATTTTTTGAACTTTTTGAATTTTTTGAATTTTTTGAATGCAAAAAATTCAAAAAATTCAAAAAAAAAGTGAATACATAATTTTTTTGAATTTTTTGAATTTTTTGAATTCAAAAAATTCCAAAAAAATGAATACATAATTTTTTTTGAATTTTTTGAATTCAAAAAAATCAAAAAATTCAAAAAAAAAGTGAATACATATTTTTTTTTGAATTTTTTGAATTCAAAAAAATCAAAAAATTCAAAAAAAAATGAAAGTCCCAAAAAGAAAGAAATGGAATTCAAAAAAATTCAAAAAATTCAAAAAAAAGTGAATACATAATTTTTTTTGAATTTTTTGAATTTTTTGAATTCCATTTCTTTCTTTTTGGGACTTTCATTTTTTTTTGAATTTTTTGAATTCAAAAAATTCAAAAAAAAGGTGAATACATATTTTTTTTGAATTTTTTGAATTTTTTGAATTCAAAAAATTCAAAAAATTCAAAAAAAAAGTGAATACATAATTTTTTTTGAATTTTCTGAATTTTTTGATTTCAAAAAATTCAAAAAATTCAAAAAAAAAGTGAATGCATATTTTTTTTTTGAATTTTTTGAAGTCGTCATGGGGGGGTTCCATAGTCATGGGGGATCCCCATAGCTGGTTTATTTCATGGAAAATCCTGGTTAGAATGGAAAATCCTATACTAAAATGGATGATTTCGGGGTACCCCCAATCTTCGAAACCTATGGAAACCTCCATATAGGGCTGATTGTGGCACCCCCAATTCAGAAGGATTATGATCGTTTTACCATGGTTTACCCACTTAAAATCAGAATCTGTCAAGTAGCTTTTGCTGGGAGTATATAAATATATAATTATATATATATATATATATGTGGCAGGGACCTTTTGGTATAATGCGACCGTCCTCCTTGTCTCCCCATATTGTATTGCTGTTCTTTCTCTGGCTGCTCTCTCTCTCTCTCTCTTTCTCTTTCTGTTTCTCTTTTTTTTTCTCTCTCTCTCTCTCTCTCTCGCTCTCTTTCTTGCTGTTCTTTTCTCTGCGTGCATTTTTGGGCATACGATTCTCTTCGTCTCCCATCTGTGTCCCTACTTGTCTCCCTTGTTCTCTCCAATTTGTATCCTTAATTCCCTCACCATTGCTATTCTTCTCATTTCTTCTCTTAGGCTGCTTTCTGTACTTGTCTCTTAATTGTTGTGCTCGTCTCCGTGCGCTTTGGGACGAAACCTATTGTCCATTACATTCCCCCATCCTCGGTCTCTGCTTCCTCTTGTCTTTCCTCTTCCCTTTCTTTCCTTACGTGTTCATCTATTCTTTCCCAGTGCTTTCTTCACCCTCATTACAGTTGTTATCTCTGGGTGCTGTTAGGACCCAAGATTCTCCTTGCCTCCCATGTGTTCCAATTTGTGTCCTTATTCAGCCAATTTTTCTCCCTTTTCTTACTCCATTTTACTTTCCTACTCATTCTACTCTCTCCGTTGCTGTTTCTGTCTTGGCTTTAGAACCTTCAGGTGCTTTGGGGCCATAAACATTACCGAGTCCATCATCCGGGTCACCAGCATTTTGGGACGGAGAGGATAGTTTTTCTCCTCTTTCCTTTCTTTCCTTACTTGTTCCTCTAGTTTTTCCCAATGCTTTCTTCGCTTCTCTCCTCATTAATTACTGTTGTTCTCTCTGGGTGCTTCTGGACCCTGGACTCCTGATTCTTCTCGTCTCCCATTTGTGTCCGTGTTTGTTCCCCTTGTTCTCTCCAAGTTGTATCCTTCATTCCCTTCCCATTGCCATTCTTCTACCAGGCTGCTTTGGGAAGAATGGATTTCCTGGTCTTTGTTTCTCCCTACTTGCCTTCCTTTGTGGAAGTCTGTGTGATTTGGGACGAAACCATACGAAACCCATTATCCGTTACTCCGTTACGTTCCCTTACCCTGGGTCCCTACCATATGTTACCCTACTTGCCTTTCTACTAGTCCCCAACTTGTCTCCTTATCATCTCTCCACTACCGTGCTTCTTTCCAGGTCTCCAGCATTTGGGACGGAGAAGAGAGCTTTTATCCTCTTTCCTTTCTTTCATTACTTGTTGCTCTAGTCTTTCCCATTGCCTTCTTCACTTCTCTCCTCACTACCGTTGTT